TGAGTCCGTTTAATGAGCATTGTTATCAGAGATGGATCCTTGAAGACTTTTGATTTGATCATTTCTATTACTCACCGAAAAGGTTCACATTGTGGCTCGCGGGTAATAATTTACGATATCAATGTGTAGAAAACCCGATAATCTATACGTAAAAGGACGTTCCCGTAAGATTTTGACGACTCAAAAGAAATTGTCTGACGCCACAAAGCAACACTGATTGTCAAGAGGACATGTGTTGCAATGTCACAGAATAAGGTCCGTTTCAATGGTTTAAAGAAAAGTTAAAAAGGTGTGTGTAAGCCTTAAGTTTCAGTATTGCAGTATCAGCGCAGACTTCACCGGATAAGTACCACTTATGGTCTCAATCTATCCTCTTTCTTTAAGACTTAATTTTCAGGCTAACCATGAGAAAGTTGACAAGTTATGTACAACACATACTACCTACTCTTCCATGATACCTGAGTTAACATCGGTTTTAAGTACAGCTCGTGCTGCTCTAACTTTTTTTTAACTTCTTTTAATACGTCAGATCATGACCAATGATGAAACATTGATTACATGTACTCTGCGGTACTAATGTTCACGGGACACTCTTGTTTGTAAATCAAAGTGTAACATATTGACTCTCCTGTGCTAATTGTGGATTTCGTTGTGACCTTCTTCGTTGACGTTCAGAGACCAAGATTAGGAAAAAAAACTGAAGACAATTTTAAAGTAAAACATGGAACAAATGAATTACAATATGTAGACTGAGTAGCTTGTCGTTATGCTTATTTTAAATGCACATAGTCTACATTTGTTTAGTATATTCTGGTGGCTAGTATCATTAATTTTAAGTAATCTTCTTTTTGGCAATAATTAAATTAGGTGTCATTGTCAAAATATAATTTTTCATCGGTTTTATGATATATTAATACTGTTGACGTGAGAAAGAATGAAAACAGTATTTATGCTTCGCTATGTGGCCTAACTTTGTCGCATCATCATTAAATGACGTTTTAGTGGTTTATTTTCATAGCTTGAGTCCCTCAGGATATCCTGGTTGTAGACATATTTCCATTAGAAATTGCATTTTTGCGACAATTTATGCTGTGAAATGCTATAAAAATCCATTTATTTTTCTAAAATTGATCCTAGTACATTATAACATATTATTGTACACAAATTAGACAAACAAAGAGGAGACTGTCATTTATAATTTTCAGTCGGATAAAAGACGAATAATACCTAAGGGATAATAATCAATATAAAAGCAATGTACCGATGTCCAGTTTAATATCATGTCAAGCTATAACACTGGCAAAAATGTTAGTGAAAAATAAACGAATCTCATTAACGGAAGGAGATCAGGCCATCATACGTATCCAAAGTCATTTCAAATAGTAAAAAGTAAAACAAAAAAAATACCGAACTCCAAGGAAAATTCAGAACGGAAAGTCCTTTATCTAATGGCAAAATCAAAAGCTCAAACACATCAAACGAATGGAAAACAACTGCCATATTCCTGACTTGGTACAGGCATTTCCTTATGCAGAAAATGCTGGATTAAACCTGGATTTATAGCTAGTTAAACCTCTAAAAGTCTCTAAGCCAGGACTTTAAGTAACCAAACCTGTTGTAATGTTAGATAAGTATTTGTGGATATGTGGGGTCTTGTACAGATGTCACTAGTGAGCTGGGAAACCGAGACACTATTTTAAAAAGTCGATCAATTCATTATGGCGACCGTATAACTTGTTAATTGGTAAACTTGTTATTCTTCCTAGCATACTCTATTGATGAAAATGAGAACGTATATTTTCATAACCCGGCACAACAAGCGTCGATTTTTTTTTTTGTGCTTCTGATTCTCTTACTGAATTCACTGGGATGGGTTCACCCTTACAGATCACAGTCAATGACTCCATGGTTAAAACAGGAGAGACTATACCAAGAAACAACCAATCAAAAACCAGAGGGAAGTTCTTTACATTGAAATTTGTCTTGTTCCTGTACATTGTCCTCTATATTTCGATGTTGACTTTTCAATTTCACTTAGCTTTTTAAGTAGCTTCAGCCAAGATAATTAGAAAATTTACAATAATAATTAAAAAATCAGATTCATAATTAGAAATAAAGGTAGCAGTAGAACACCTAGTAAGAATGTATATAATGCTACTAGTATGTTGCACTTTAATGACACATGACATGGTACATTCTCTTCTATTCGCTGACATTCCTTCACTTTGTAAAGTCGTCCAATGTTGACTTAAAATCAAACCATCTGGCTGTCCATTTGTCAGTTCTTCTCGTTCTTTTGCTTCTTTAACCTCAAAATTTGTCTGATTGGTTATATTTAAATTTAACTAAATATCTAGTAGGATCCTGGATATTATCAAACATATAGTAAAAAAAGTATGATTCCAGATTGTAATGATTTATTTACTTTTTGTATTCATCATATACACATCCAAAGAGTTGATTGTTTCACATTTTGTCATGTCAAAAAAGAAGTATTGTCAATACTGAATTGCAAACAAAATCTGCAAAAATACAATTACAAGCAAAATCTGGCAAAATAGATTTGCATCTGATACATACTTTCTTTGAGTTATATAAAAACAATTTATTTATAGCAAAATCTGCTGATAATTTGTTTATGACATCTTGATGAACAAACAAATGTTGGCTTTGCGATATTAACATGTAAGAATATTACATTTTCCTGCACAATTATAGACGGAAACCAAATGACAATCATCATCCAAGTTTATTTTTTTACATGCCTGACTTTGTGAAGTTTCTGAGAGTGATGAGGAGTCAGTGGAATTGATTCTAGGAAAACATTTTGTACGAATGTCGACAACGTCATCTAATGAATAATACTTTGTAAAATATCATCCTTAAAGGAAATCTTATAAATGCACTCTGAATCGTTAATAATTTCAATAATTCAAACATTTTGGACTGTAGCAAATTTTAATTTATTTTCTAGCAAGAAAGCGAGTACAGTGACCCCATACTATTTATTTTTCCAAAAGTACATTATAAGAGCTTTCTTATAATTTCAAAATTCTATAATCAGGTTTTCTTTCTATTCACTCAAAAGTCTTCTTTTTTCACACTTATAATCCGTACAAAATTTGACATAACCTGTAGCTTAAAAAAAACTAGGTGACCCATACTTTTAATCATATTGTTAAACAGTATTATATAAACTACATTTTGTCAAAGTATGAAAAAAATCATGTCGTTTTTAATTGAGACCCCCTATGTAACTTTTTTTAAAGACTTTCATCAATATAATACTCATGTAGAGTTGATCATATTTTCAAATCAATTAACACCGTTGTTATTAAAAAAAAAAAAACTCGTTAGTCTTGTTTGCGCAAGCCAGGATACTCCTTGTCAAACTAGATATTCTTATCTTTACAAGGTGACATTGAAATTTCGATTTGTATATATCAGGTTTCCAATTTCTACTAGTAGAAAATGGAAATCGAATTTCTACTAGTAGGTTTCTTGATCCTACTGAATTCGTATTGTATTGTGGCATATATATACAAAAATTGAAAAACGTTTTAAGACTGTGATATTAATTTTTTTAACACAAAACGAGTACCCTCCATCGAGTATCCAGCTAATAAAACCACTGAATTATCATCGTCTTGAACATCTTCAAACATTACTCGAATGTAGTTTTGAATGGGATTAAAAATTGTGTGTTTGTGCATGATGTCTATATATTCATTATTAATATTACAGGATTTTAACTTTTCATGAACTACAGGACAGGTGATATTATAAGTGCAAGAACCGCTTAAAATATTAGCCGTCCGAAGCACCTGGTTGGATCCCGTTTTAAATAAATATCGCATCACACTCGATGCAGTGGTAGACTCCATGTCATACGTCGTTGTAACCAGTACTGGCTTTTATACAACGGGATGAAGGCGCCGTCGATATGTTGACGGTTCACGAGGGCACATTTAAAGCCATCTACGCTTTTTGCGCGCACCACTGTGACTTCTAGATGGTTCCAGTTAAGTATCGTGGACAACAAAGAATGAGTTGGTATGTTGTGGTGTTCTACTGGTGGGAATGTCAAAACACCTAGTCTTTCTCACTTATTTTTCGACAATGTTTGTTGTTTGAAAGTTGTCAAACTTTTTGACTGTGATGGTTCTTCTTGGTCTTGCTGATTTTAGTACTCGTTTAATCAATAGCAGGAACCAGCCCCACGACCACCTTGTCCAAAAATATAAGCTTTTGCTTGTACTTCTATATTGTAGTTCTTGTAGTTCTAATTTGGCAAACATGTTTGTTATGCATCCATCTTCTCTTGTTTTGTAATCGCTTTTTATAAACCTTGCTGCTTGTCGTTGTATTCTTTCTAGCTTGTTGGTATCTGCTACACAGTATATGTCCCATACTGTTGCTGCATATTTCATCGTTGATCGAACTAGTGAAACGTATGCAGTTTTATTTCCGATTCCGCACGGTGGCCGTGACAGTACCTTATGTTCCTTCTGAGAAAACACAGGGCTGAAGTTGCCCTTTTGCAACTCAACTTGTATATAGAAAACATTAAATTAGAGAGATTAATTCTAAAAAAAAACGTTTTTTTTTAGAATTAATCTCTCTAATTTAATGTTTTCTAAATAAAAATAAAGAGATGTGGTATGATTGCCAATGAGACAAATATCCACCAAAGTTCAAATGAAGTGGATGTAAGCGATTATAGGCAACCGTACGGCCTTCAACAATGAGAAAAACCCATACCGTATGGGTCGGCTATAAAAGGCCCCGACATGAAAAATATGAAACAAATCAATTGAGAAAACTAAAGGCATAATTTATAACAAAACAACTTACTTCATTCTTGTTATATTCATTGTCATTTATTAAGTTCTTTTCTGTACAAATATATATATTGTGATATTGATTATTTGAGTCCTTTGCTGTGCTTTGTTATATGATTTAAATATTGGTTTACATTATTTATTGATAGGTGTCGCTGTATTTGTTTCCGGATGTTGACTATCTGTCTGCTCTTTGCACCAAAATGGATCAGGAAATTGTGTAGTGAAGAGTACAAACACAAGTTTCTGTTTGAGAAGAAATATTTTCTATTGACAAAAATAACTTATAGTGGCAATCAAATGCACTTCCCCTCAGGATAAATGTTGTCGGTAGAGGGTTGTCACATGTTCATGAGTGGGCGTAACTTCTACTGTTTTTGTCTGATTAAACTTTAATTCCAGTGTTCTTTAACACAACTTACATTACAGAAACAAAATATGGCTGATTTCCTGGCAGAAAATAACCAGTGTGGTCAAAATATTCTACGCCTTGTGTCTAGGGGAAATGCCATACTTGCTGAATTATTGAGACTTTCAGAAGTAATACCACCAGTTTTTAGACAGGAAAATCCACATGAAAAACTTAAATATGCTGACATTATTAGTGATTTCAGTTACTTTAGAAATGCAGAATACTTTGACAATAAGATTGAATCCAAAGTGGTAAGATATTGGAAATTAACCTTTACCATGTTAACCCTCTTGAGTGAGTCTTCTTAGTCCTATAAAATAAATATCATTTTCATACATTGAAAACTATTTTTTTCGAGGTAAAATGCATATTTTCCATATATTTTGAATACAAATTATTCACTGTGTATGACTTTATTGATTAATTTGACTTTGTGAACATTAAGTTTACATACATTTGTGTACTTGACATTACAAAAACATTGTTCCTTTATTTTCAAATTGTAACTTAACACATATGACATCAACAAAAAGAGTGTTATTCGTGAAATTTCATGAGGTTGATGTGTAAAATGTGATAGTAAACTTCTAGGTACTTGAAAATACAGTTAGTGTTGTACAGTCAATGGCTTAATTGTTAAACGGTTATAATGTATTCAATTTTCATAGTATAAAGTGTTATTGATTGCAAAACTTCTAACCGAATACCACAGTTTGATTTCAGGTTTGAAATATATTTGATATCTGCTCAAATTAACTAAAAGAAGGTTTTATTATGGGAAAAAAATATATTACTAAAAAAAACTGTTGACTGTAGTAAAAACTCAGAAGTATAGTGTCGAAGCCTGGAATAATTCTTTATAAATAGTGTCGAAGTCTAGAATAATTCTATATAAATAGTGTCGAAGTCTAGAAAACTCTTCATAAATGGAAAATTATATCCAAATCATTACTTCAGCAAGTAACCAATATGCAGTGAATTAATATATTGACCACATTATTATTCTAACTTTGCTATTATTTGAGATTTCAACCGGCTTGTCAGTGGGAAGAAATTTTTCAGGCTGCAGGTTGTCAGCGGAAAAGACAGGCCGGAGCGTCCTTCCATTTCTATACTCTGTATTAAAAGAGCAGAAGCAGGATTATATATATGTCAGTCTGTTTAATCATCAACGGGTTCTCAGATTCAGATTGTGTGATAAATCAAGTTTAAAAAATATTTATATATCTAAATAATTCCATGAAACATGCAATACAAATTGAATATGTTTTTTTTCCGATTTCAATTAAATTTCAATTTTTCATCATTTTTGTCGAGCCTTCGACTTTTGTCGAAAAAGCGAGACATAGCGATCCTACATTCCGTCGGCGTCGGTGTCGTCGTCGTCGTCGGCGGCGGCGTCCACAAATATTCACTCTGTGGTTAAAGTTTTTGAAATTTTAATAACTTTCTTAAACTACCCTGGATTTCTACCAAACTTGGACAGAAGCTTGTTTATGATCATAAGATAATATTCAAAAGTAAATTTTGTAAAAAAAAAATTCCATTTTTTCCGTATTTTACTTATAAATGGACTTAGTTTTTCTGCCAGGAAACATTACATTCACTCTGTGGTTAAAGTTTTTGAAATTTTAATAACTTTCTTAAACTATCCTGGATTTGTACCAAACTTGGAAAGAAGCTTGTTTGTGATCATAAGATAGTATCCAGAAGTAAATTTTGTAAAAAAAAAATTCCATTTTTTTTGTTTTTTACTTATAAATGGACTTAGTTTTTCTGCCAGGAAACATTACATTCACTCTGTGGTTAAAGTTTTTGAAATTTTAATAACTTTCTTAAACTATCCTGGATTTGTACCAAACTTGGAAAGAAGCTTGTTTGTGATCATAAGATAGTATCCAGAAGTAAATTTTGTAAAAAAAAATTCAATTTTTTTTTGTATTTTACTTATAAGTTGACTTAGTTTTTTCTGCCAGTTAACATTACATTCACACTGTAGTTAAAGTTTTTAAAATTTTAACAACTTTCTTAAACTATCCTGGATTTGTACCAAACTTGGACAGAAGCTTGTTTATGATTAAAAGCTAGTATCTAAAAGGAAATTTTGTTAAAATTTTGTTCCATTTTTTCCGTATTTTACTTATAAATGGACTTAGTTTTTCTTCCAGTTAACATTACATAACAGTCTGCAGTTTAAGTTTTTATTTTAAAACATTTATTAGATTCATAAACTATCCTGGATTTTTACCAAACTTGGACAGAAGCTACTTACAATCAAAAGATAGTATAGAGAGGAATATTTTTATTAATTTTTTTCCTCATTTTTGTTGAGCCTGTGATTAACAGCAGAAGTAGGCGAGACACTGGGTTCCGCGGAACCCTTACGAATTTTTTTGTGTGTGAAAACTAATAGCCAATAGAAAGAGAAATCCAAACATCAGAATGAGAATCTAGGACTTTTTTTTGCTATAGCCTCAACGTGTATTATTTGTTATTTTCCAATTCATATTGATGACAAAAAGTCTTTTGGAAGTAATTGCTTCATATCAAATAAAAAGGTTATGTACAGTGACTTTCTCAATCACATGTTGGAACATTTTGTTAGCTTCTCACAAGTTCTTTTCAGTTATAATATGAACTGACATTATAATTTAAATAAAGTTTGGATGTACATGTAAGAATGGAATTAAAATAAACATTTTATAATCGTTGAACAGCAAAGAAAACAAAGTTCTACAGAAAATAAAGGAAACACTGAGATGAAACATCTACTCAAAGATCTCCATTTTGTATTTTTAGGGTCCTCCCCTAATTTAAACGAAATACTAGATTAAATTTAAGTTATTTAATTAGTTTCTTGAAATGCTGTGCATCTGTTTTACTTTTAAGTGTTTGCAAAAAAAAAACCTAAATGATGAATAAACTCACAGGCACTACTATGATTTTTTTTTGAGGGAGTGAGGTTAAGGGGTTTATCAAATAAGTGTATCTTCCATAGTGAACTGTTATGAATAAAAGGAGATGAAAGGTATACGTCAATGAGACAGCAAGCAAAATAACAAAATAATAGACATCTAGAAGACAACACGTATAGGTATTTACACAATACATTTTGTATGTCAAGACCTAAATCAGTTTTGTATATAGTGTTGTCCACTTTATGATCTTATAAGAAAGGGGAGGATATTATATAAAGACAATTGTCACTTTAAGTTTTGATTGATGTTGCTTGTTTAACATCTTGTCTGTAACAGAATATTTGATAGAAGATTTTTGTGTCATATTTCTTTCAAGTTGAAAAGGCCATCATATATTTGTCAACTGTTAGAAAAATGTGGTACTTCTCTGAAGTTTGTTTTAATATTTTACTAATTGATGTAGAAAGAACGAGGAATTAAGATATTACTATGTGTATAACTCTCCCTCCCCTGAAAGTTGCTTATATTTTGTCTTAACTAGGGGCTATTGAAAGTTTGATATATTGTCATGATGTTTGTTTGGTTATTGTACAAAAAACATCAGGTTGAAGGCCATACGGTGACTATATAGTTGCTAACTCCTACATCATTTGATCTCTGGTGGAAAATTGTTGCATTGGTATAAATTAAGTATAATTATATCACTTCTTTTGTTTTTTATTATAACTTAGTCTGCAAGACGCCTGTTTCGTCTACATTAGACTCATCAGTGTACTCAAATCAAAAGTTTGAAACCCAATTAGTAAAGAAATTGAAAAGAAAAATGAACAAAAAGCAAATTAAAAACATAAAAATGCAATATTATGCATAAATATGTAGCCTGTTCTGATCAGTTACTTGTATTTTGTGTTTTCTCCAATCATAGAGATGTAAATTAGTTAAACTATATCATATTTTGCAAATTCTGTTAAATTGTCAAATGGCATTTGTTGTCTATATTAGAACTTTCATCAGTGATTCAAACTGTGGTTATTTTCCTTTATATTCAGCCTTTTTGTCGAGCCTGCGAAATTTATTTCGCAAAGGCGAGACATAGCGATCCTAGATTCCGTCGACGTCATCAACATTTAGGTTCAGTCTGTGGTTAAAGTTTTTTTAGCTATAGTCATCAATAAGTTTGTCAAACCTACATGGAATTTAATGAAATTTGGACAGAAGCTTGTTTATGATCAAAAGACAGTACCCAGAGCAAAATTTTGAAAATATTTATTTTCATTTTTCCGTATTTTACTAATAAATGGACTTAGTTTTTTTTTACAGTTAACATTCAGATTCAGTCTGAGGTTAACGTTTTTCAGTCATCAATGACTTTGTCAAACCTTCATGGAATTATATGAAAATTGGATAGAATCTTGTTTATGACCAAAAGACAGTATCCAGAGTGAAATTTTAAAAATATTTATTTTCATTTTTCTTTATTTTACTGATAAATGGACTTATTTTTTTTTACAGTAAACAAGGAGTCATAGTCTGGGGTTAAAGTTTGATGCACTTCAATTACTTAATCAAACCTTCATAGAGTTTTATGAAACTTTGGCAGAAGCTTTTTAATGATTAAGAGATAATGACTGAAGCAAACCTTTGAAAATATATTTTTTTCATTTTTCTGATTGATGGACTTTTTTTCACATTATAAATTTGTAAACCTTCATGGATTGTTACGAAACTTGGACAGAAGCTAATCTTCAAGAACAAGAAATAGCATCTAAAGAAAAAGTGTTCTACAGACCCCCTTACAATTTATTTAAATAAACTTCTGGATTCTACTGTTTAAGTGTTATTCTGATGTGTTGTCTAGCATGTCTAGTGAAGAACAAAAACTAAATACTGATTTAAATATCTATATATTGGCCTGCACATGCTTTTAATCAAAGTTCTGCAGATCTCCTAGCTGACAATTAATTTTTGTCGATGATATTAATATTCTATTATTCTGGGTTGTCTTTCACATTTCAAGATTTGAAATGTAAATTTTGTCTATTTTAACAACAAAACCTCTTTAGAATTAGTTTGACAGATTAATAAATATATGTCAAGTCACAGTCTCTGTGGTGCTAAAGATTTTATATTTCAGATGAATCAAAAATCATGTTTTATTTTGGGTCAAACTTATTTATGTCATGAATATGTACGAAATATATTCAGTCTTTCATTCTCTTAGGTTGTGTTTGTAATTCATTAAAAAGCTTGAATTTATTTTTAATAAGCATTTTGCAGCTATCAACTAACTGAAGACAACGGTAAGTGCCCGACAAAAATTTACGACGTAATATTAGACATCACTTAGATGAATCTGGTTGACGTCACGAAATGCCAAAACTTTAGTTCGAAAGTCAATATTCTTAATATTATAAATATTATACCCAGAAATTTTCAAAAGCAATTATTGAATATGTTGTAAATAAAATCAAAATCCTATATTTTGCCACCTTGAGAATAACTTAAATGTGCTTCACTGTTTATAAGAAGTAAACTCTGATAAAATGAAAATGAAAGCTAAATGGAGAAATATAACAAAATTTCAAAACATTGACGGTCTGTTTGATGTTTTGCCAGGGTAGATTTGCATGAAAATACGTAGAAAATGTTTGTAGAGTACAGGGTTTTAAAACGAGTACTTATTTATAAGTTCTGTCAGTACATTTGCAGAGTTCTACTCGATTACATTTCATAACCATGTGAAATTGACATGTGTATTTTTGGGACCTGGTCAGTGGTGGACATATATGTCTGCTTGGGACTCGGAGGGTTAACCAAAAAAAAATAGGTGCATGAGGACAGGACCCTGTGTTGGGCCCCTATTGTCCCTCCTTCATTATAATAAATCCCAGATTTTCCAATTTATATCAGTTATTTGTACCATATGTATACCAATATGCCATATATTTACTCTGAATGTATATGTTTACTATCATCAGACCTCTTGACTATTTCTATAAACATGTATGTTGACGGTCGTACGATGACCTATAGTTGTTAATGTCTGTGTCATTTGGTCTCTTGTGGAGAGTTGTCTCATTGGCAATCATACCACATCTTCTTTTTATATATTCAGTAAATATATGGCATATTGGTATGGTATACATATAAACAGATTAATGCTCACATGACCACTTTGATTTAATAATTCTATTTTATAGTTTTGCAGTTAGGACATTTATCACCCAGGTTACAATACATCCTTAATCTAGAAAATTTACTTAATCACATGTTATCTACCGGTACTAAAAAAAAAGCAAGGTCCATGATGTCACCTTTGATGATTATAACTTAATACATGTAATATGATTGGATGAGCTTATAGACAAATTACCATATAATGTTTGAAAAGTACCAATAGATACATTGTTCAAAGAGAAACAAAACATGATACATGTAGCATAACTATATATATATGTTCTGGACCATATGAGTATTTGGACCATATGCGTATGGTCATGGCCATATGTGTATATACATATGGTCCGGGTAATTATCTGTAAATTTGAAAAGGTGTCGCATAATTAAGAGTTTCTTAAAATGAAAATTTGACATATATTCAATCATATGGTAATCAATGTTACATGATCAATGAAACAATGCAAATTTTACTTACAAGTAAGAATTATTGTGTTTGTTAAATTAGAATTTCTTAATTATTTCAAATTGTTTTTAGTTATTTTTAAAATGTGTTCTTGCTCCTACTCATACGATCTTACAATAACATTAAGTTTGTATATAATTAGGTGCAAGAAGACATCAATTAAGTGAAAATAAGAAGAAATTAGAAGAAATTTTGTTTCTGGAATAATAATTTAAACACCAAGAAAAAGAACATGTCTCAAAATAGGTACACATCTCAAACACCTGTTGTTTCACTTACAGACGAAATAGTCGACAGCCAGGAGAAAGGCGCTTTAAATTGATGCTTGCGAAAAATAAAATAATAAATACACCTTAATTCAGACAATATATGAAAAAGATAAAGAAATTCAATTAGTAACGTGTGCCGTTTTTGGTTTGGAGAATGAGCTGTGTGTTCCTGCAAAAGCTAGAATTTATTCCAAAAATACCTATATGGTCTAAATACTCATATGCCTTATGGTCCGGCTCATTAATAACCAAACCAGTATAATCTCATATGGTCCGACCATATGAGTTATACGCATATCGTCATGACCATATGCGTATGGTCCAAATACTCATATGGTCCGAAACATATATATATATATATATACAAGTCTAAATTGAAAGCAACGTTCAAACCTATGATTGCGTTGGATAAAAACCACAATTTTTATATGTGTGCATGCAAAACAAATTTCTTGTTAGAGGGGTCTAAATACAGCACAAACAACATTTTCTAAAAGACCAAAAAAGTGAAAAAGTATATTTTGACAAAACGCATTTGACTAACAGGTCGAACAACAAATGTTCTTAAACCCTGCTGACTGCCATTGGCGATTACCAAATAAACGGATCACAATGTAATAAATGGATCTTAATTATAAATTTAATACTAAACAGAAAACAATAAACTTGCGGAAAAGATTGTATACCGCAAACAAAAGGTGCAAAGGTTTTTGTACACCATATCAGGATTATATATATATATACATGTCATAATGTATATAATAACTTAAGCTTACAATAAGATACTACTAAGTTATTATTTCAAGAGTTTTTACCTTTCTTGGAAAGAAATTACCCTCGATTTCTTGCACTAGTATATTTTTTTTTTATCTTTCAGGAACTTCAAGATTTAGATGAAGAATACAGAGAAAATAATATTGAAATTCTGACAAGATTTTATCAAGCATTTTCTAGTGTACATAAATATATAATAGATTTGACAAAGTAAGTACACTTTGAATACCTTAGATTAATTTGCTTAGCATTTATATTGAGACTACTTGTATTTATAGCAGGGTTCTCACTAACGCGAGTCTATGAGTCCTGGACTCATGAATATCTGTTTGGACTCATTATTTTCAAATCTGGTGAGTCCAAAGATGCATCAAGATTGTAAAATGTTGTATCAACTGAGCAGATATATTATCATTTTATAACAAAAGTTTAAAAGTCTTACTCTGTTTTGTCATGGGGACTGAAATAATAAATTATATAGTGATAAAATTTCATCTTTTCACTGTTGGACTCGCCATGGCCAAAAGTGCTGAGTTCCTGGACTCGTCTTCAAAATTGCCTGTTTATAGTTAATAAGATTGGTACATGTATCCCTGACTGATGAGGTATGATAGCAAGATATTAAACCGTTTGGAGGTTTGATAATTATCTGGGTGGTGATTAGTTTGGTAAAAACTTTTGACTTTATCAGAACATTGGTTCATATAGAACTCATCAAAAATTACATAATCATCTTCCTGATCTTTATACAAATACTGAACAGAATCTTTAAGGTTATGGGGTACTAAAATTTCTCCATTCCTATTCAAGCTCTGACTGCTAAAATCAATTATTAATTTTAATTTGTCAATTCCTATTGTTTTCTCTCCTGAAATAACTAGACTTGAAACTATAAAATACGATTTATGAATGCTGATTTATAAAACTCTCTGGAAGTGATAGAAATAGCTACACTGGTACACATATTTTAATTCAATCCAATAGTGAATAATATTTTCATTTTTTTAAACTACTTGGCAAGTCTGTATAAAATAATTTTTTATCATGATTTTTATTTTCAAACTTTCAAAGTGCTATACTTGCACCAACACATTCAAATATTTATTGTAACAGCAGACTTTTTAAGATTTTTTCAAATTGAGTTAAAGCTACTATCTAGTAGATAGGTACAGATTTAGGTTGGACTTCTGTCCTGAAACATAATTACATGAACAAAATACTACAAATGTATGTCCTTAAATAGTTCTTATCTAAGAAAACTGAACAAGTTTTTCTTAATGTTTTACAAGGTTTGTTCAAATGTAATATTTGTCTCTGTGCAAGAATAATGAAATAAGCTGTGAAGAGAAACTGTTAGCACATCTGATTAAATAATAGCAAAATAAATGTAGTTATTTATACTTGTACTTTTAAGATTCTGTCTGATTGTATGGATTTTCTATTATTTTTACAGTATACCATATCAGTAAGGCCATTTCCCAGTTACAATGTTTTCAGTTACAGAGTTTATAATTCGGATTGATGACACTAAATTTGATAAGATTAAATTGTTATTTATCAAACTTCTACAATTTGATTGTTTTAGATTCCTTGAAGATTTAGAAGAAGGAATATACATACAACATTCATTGGAAAGTGTTTTGATTAATGATGATGGTAAACAGTTATTGGTAAGAAACCATTATAAAACATTGAACATATGTTTTAAAAAGCTGTAGCAAGAGATAGAAAGGGACCAAGACCTATTCACCCTAACTACTCCCATTTCAAATACAAGTAGAATGAAAAGGATTGGGTTTTTAGTACAAAGAAATTATTATTATAAATTTCCTCATGCAAGTATCTATGTAAAGGGGGAAATGGAATTGTACTTATGTTTGTTTTTTTTTAAATTTTCATACCAGATGCTTTTTTTACAGAATATGCCAAAATGTCTTTAACATGTGTGGTTCTTGAATTATGACAGACATTTGCACATGTGAGGTATCTGATTAGGGACATACACATAAGCATGTGAAGTTCCTGACTAGGGACAGACAAATGAACATATGAGGCTCCTGACTTATGACAGACACATGAACATGTAAGGTTCCTTAATTGGAACAGACACTTGAACATTTCAATTTGGGGTTCCTGAATAGGGACAGACAAATGAACATGTTAGGCTCTAACTTATAACAGAAACATGAACATGTATGGTTCCTGACTTGGGACAGACACATGAACATGTAAGGTTCCTGACTTGGGACAGACACATGAACATGTAAGGTTCCTGACTTGGGACGGACACATGAACATGCAAGGTTCCTGACTTGGGACAGACACATGAACATGTAAAGTTCCTGACTTGGGACAGACTCATGAGCATGTTAGATTTCCGACTTTGGTCATACAAATGAAAATGAGAGGTTACTGACTTGGGACGAACACATGAATATGTAAGATATCAGACTTTGGACATACAAATGAAAATGAGAGGTTACTGACTTGGGACGAACACATGAACATGTAAGGTTCCTGACTTGGGACAAACACATGAATATGTAAGATATCAGACTTTGGACATACAAATGAAAATGAGAGGTTCCTGACATGGGACAGACACATGGAAATGAGAGGTTCCCGACTTGAGACAGATTCATGAAAATGAGAGGTTCCTGACTTTGGACATACACATGAACATGGGAGGTTCATGACTTGAGACAGACACATGAACATGTGAAGCTCCTGACTTGGGACATCACATGAATATGTGAGGTTCCTGACATGGGACAGAAACAAACATAGGAGGCTCCTGACTGGGGGCAGACACATGAACATGGGATCCTGACTTGGGACATACACATGAACATGTGAGGTTCCTGACTTGGGACAGACACATGCACATGATGTTCTTAACTTGCAACAGAAGCATGAACATGAGGTTCTTGACTTGTGACAGACACATTAACATGTGAAGCTTCTGATTAGGGACAGACACATGCACATGTGAGGTTCCCAACTTGGTACAGACACATGAAAATGTGAGATTCCCAACTTGGGACAGACACATGAACATGTGAGATTCCTGACTTGGGACAGACACATTCACATGAGGTTCTTAACTTGCAACAGAAGCATGAACATGAGGTTCTTGACTTGTGACAGACACATTAACATGTGAAGCTTCTGATTAGGGACAGACATATGCACATGTGAGGTTCCCGACTTGGTACAGACACATGAAAATGTGAGATTTGCACATGTGAGGTATCTGATTAGGGACATACACATAAGCATGTGAAGTTCCTGACTAGGGACAGACAAATGAACATATGAGGCTCCTGACTTATGACAGACACATGAACATGTAAGGTTCCTTAATTGGAACAGACACTTGAACATTTCAATTTGGAGTTCCTGAATAGGGACAGACAAATGAACATGTTAGGCTCTAACTTATAACAGAAACATGAACATGTATGGTTCCTGACTTGGGACAGACACATGAACATGTAAGGTTCCTGACTTGGGACAGACACATGAACATGTAAGGTTCCTGACTTGGGACGGACACATGAACATGCAAGGTTCCTGACTTGGGACAGACACATGAACATGTAAGGTTCCTGACTTGGGACAGACTCATGAGCATGTTAGATTTCCGACTTTGGTCATACAAATGAAAATGAGAGGTTACTGACTTGGGACGAACACATGAATATGTAAGATATCAGACTTTGGACATACAAATGAAAATGAGAGGTTACTGACTTGGGACGAACACATGAACATGTAAGGTTCCTGACTTGGGACAAACACATGAATATGTAAGATATCAGACTTTGGACATACAAATGAAAATGAGAGGTTCCTGACATGGGACAGACACATGGAAATGAGAGGTTCCCGACTTGAGACAGATTCATGAAAATGAGAGGTTCCTGACTTTGGACATACACATGAACATGGGAGGTTCATGACTTGAGACAGACACATGAACATGTGAAGCTCCTGACTTGGGACATCACATGAATATGTGAGGTTCCTGACATGGGACAGAAACAAACATAGGAGGCTCCTGACTGGGGGCAGACACATGAACATGGGATCCTGACTTGGGACATACACATGAACATGTGAGGTTCCTGACTTGGGACAGACACATGCACATGATGTTCTTAACTTGCAACAGAAGCATGAACATGAGGTTCTTGACTTGTGACAGACACATTAACATGTGAAGCTTCTGATTAGGGACAGACACATGCACATGTGAGGTTCCCAACTTGGTACAGACACATGAAAATGTGAGATTCCCAACTTGGGACAGACACATGAACATGTGAGATTCCTGACTTGGGACAGACACATTCACATGAGGTTCTTAACTTGCAACAGAAGCATGAACATGAGGTTCTTGACTTGCGACAGACACATTAACATGTGAAGCTTCTGATTAGGGACAGACATATGCACATGTGAGGTTCCCGACTTGGTACAGACACATGAAAATGTGAGATTCCCAACTTGGGACAGACACATGAACATGTGAGATTCCTGACTTGGGACAGACACATGACAATGTGAGGTTCCTGACTTGGAACAGACACATGAACATAAGGTTCTTGACTTGGGACAGATACATGAACATATGAAGTTCCTGACTTGAGACATATGCATGCACATGGGAGGTTCATTACTTGAGACAGACACACGAACATGTGAAGCTCCTAACTTGGGACAGACACACGAACATGTGAGGTTTCTGACTTGGGACAGACACATAAACATGTGAGGCTCCTGACTTGGGGCAGACACGTGAACATGTGAAGCTCCTGAATTTGGACAGACACATGAACATGTGAGGCTCCTGATTTGGGGCAGACACATGAACACGAGGTTCCTGACTTGGGACAGACACATGAACCTGTGGCTGATTGAAATTATTTTTTTTAATACTCAGTCCTGTATACAATTCAGTTTTTGCACTGGTTGATGTATTGTGTGTCATTTGATTTATTATGTGTATTTTCATATGTTGACACTAAGATATTCATGTATTATATATATGTAATCTCTTAATTAATGTTTTCCTTTTTGAATAAAAGTCATTGGAGTGAAGAATTTTGTCTGGTTTAAAAAGTGTTAGAAATATCTGGGGATTAAAGATAAAGATTTTCTAACATTTGCATAGGCATTGCCCTTTGGAAATTCATTATTCTTTTCAGGACAACTACAAATTAACTGTTATGTAATTAAGAAATGTAAACAGGGCAACATTGTAGAAGTGAGAAAACACTTTCAAACTGATGCTTAATCAATGCAAAAACATTTAAGACTGTTACAAGATCAGTCAAATCATAAAATATATTTTCCCATAGAAGTGATATTTCATTGCATATCATTCTTTGTGAAAAACAAAAAAAAAAATATAACACAGTTTTGTTTTACACTTGTTATCAATATTTTCCCTCTTGTCTTGACTTGGTATAATAATGAAAAAAATTGCCTTAAAACTTCTATTTTCATAGATATTGCTTTATCAAATCCAAAGTTGTAGATTGATTTTTTTGCTCACTGATAATCTTTCTATCTTATTGTACTTTCATTTCTAAAAAGGTATGTGAATAATAAAGAGATGTAAATCTTGACACCTGTTGAGTTAAAGATTATATATGACAATATGAATATTGGAAGAATACAAACATTGTCAACTGTATAACTCTGGTTTCATCTGTTTACTGGTCCAGTACCAGTTAATGTCAGAAATTCACAGTTTTCTTAAATATTTTTCTACAGAAATTCTGTTAGGACCTAATTTTGTAACATATATCACGGTACCAAAAGTTAGTTCTAGCACCATATACTCAGACTTCAAATCCTCCTATAATTAATGTAAAGTCTAGTACTCGAGTGTAATTTTTGTGAGAAATTTTACAAACTACGATTAGTTACCGTCACTACAGAGTCTAGCTACTAAATAATAGAATTTTTTTTCCTTATCTAATAATTAGTTTCATATTTTGATATTCTGATAAAAAGAGAAAGTTGAATGTCAACTTAAGTAAACATATAGTCCTTCCATCCAAAATTCCTAAGCTTTTCTTCCTTTTGTTAAATTTGAACTGATCATGCATTTATGTTTATTGAAATCAACAAGTTCCACTGTATTCAATAGAATCAAAGAAGTTAATTTTTAAATTGATAAATCCTTTTTTTATTCAAATGAAAACAAGTTTTGTTATTAAGCAATTTGTGGTATTACTTGGTCTGAAAATGGTAAGTTTTCTAAAAATAGAGGATACATGAAGAATAAGTTTTTGATACTGCATTTATATTCTTGATATGTTTTTAATGTTTTCTTTAAATGATAGTAAGATCAGTTGCTGAAATGTTGTACATATTTTGATATTTTTACAGTGTGAGGCTTTGTTTTTGTATGGTGTAATGTTACTCATTATTGATACAAGAATAGAAGGTATTATTAGAGAAAGAATACTGGTGTCTTATTATAGATATAGGTAAGAAATGTTTAATACTGTTGATTTGTCACTTGGTGTAACAAAAAACGAATTTGTTGATTATCATTACTGCCCACACAGATGACCATGACTTCTGATCTTATTACATTGAACTTCATTAGTAAAAATTGTTTTTTATATTTTGACTTTCACTTTGGAACTTAATGCGTCTTTGTATCTTTCTCTTTTAAACAATAAACATTACTTCTTTCAACTGCATGTTGTCTTTTTTATGCTTAAATTATCTCCCTTTTTATACCTTTTCCAAAATCCCTTGAAAGGAGTTTTAATTTAACAATACAAAATTAGCAGAAATTTGATTTTGAATTTCATATAGACAAATTTTTGAAATTGCACAACAGTATGTGTTATTTTAGCTGTAAGAAATTTTAAAAGCGATCTTTTTGCACAGACAAAAATATCCAAAATTGGGTCAGTTTGCTTAAAACTTGAGGAAATATAGATTCCACCACTGCATCAAGTGTGTTACTATATTTCTCCACTCGAGACAGTTAAATTTTAATATTTAAAGCTTGAGGCTTGCTGAGCTTTTTAAATGATTATAATTCAACTGTTGAGAGTGGAGAAATATCGTAATACACTAGTTATAGTGGTGGAATCTGTTTCTATAATGACAATATCTAAACACAGTTTCCCTTTCTTTTCAAAGATTTGCAGAAAGTTGTGTTCTTTAATATATGTGATGTCATCAGACATATTTTTCTCACACTGATCGAGAAATGTGAAAAAAGCATGAATATTGACGAAATTTCTTATACTAACAATCTTCTTTCTTTACAGTGCCCAGAAAGCTGCTGCTGGTGATTCTAACATAGATGATGTATGTAAACTGTTAAGAAGTACTGGATTCTCTAATGCACCAGGTGCTAAAAGACCTCCAAACTATCCAGAATCATACTTTAAGTAAATACTGTAAATTCAGAATTTAATCTGTGCATTTATTGCAAATCTTTGACAGCAAGAAAAATGTGAGATTACTTACATGTACTGGTAATGCAATTTCTGTACCTTTTTATAATAAAACATTATCGGCAAAAATAATTTACTGACGATTTTGGTTGTTTTCCAGAAAATGGGCTTGAAATTCTACATAACTAACAAGATACGACAAATCTGTGTTTAAGTTACAGAGATGTTTTTAATAAGGTTAAAATGTGAAAAATCACAGTTCATTCATAACAGTAAGAGAACTTTGCAGTGATTGAGCAATTTGAGTTCAAGCTGCCCAGAATCAACTTTATGTTAAAAAAAACTCCATTTTCCTATATACTTGCATCTTTCTGGAAAATCTTTTCATTGATTATTTTCATTTGAAATTTTTTTTAGCTTACATGGCATTTTCCTCTATCTTTCAGTCGAGTACATATCAACAGTGACTTTATCAACATGGTGATTGGTCGATTGAGGTCAGATGATATATATAATCAGATATCAGCCTATCCTCTACCAGAACATCGCTCTACAGCTCTGGCTACACAGGCATCCATGCTTTATGTCATTCTATATTTTGAACCTGAAATTCTACATAACCAACAAGCCAAAATGAGGGAAATAGTAGATAAACACTTCCCAGATAATTGGGTAAGACATTCTATCTAGCAATGTCATCAGATTAAGGTTCATCATAACAAATGGACAAAAATGGCTGTGTTTAGACCTCAAAAACAACTCTGAGTACATACTAACCTGTGCAGTTGGAAAAGTTTTAAGGCCTGGCATCCACTAGATATATAAAAGTTAAATTCATTTTGTTTTTCAGAAAGATAAAATCTTTTTTTGATTTTGATGACCATTTTTTTTTCGTTCCTGCAGAAGGTGTAAAAATAAACTAAGTTGGGATACAACTTTGAGATGCTCCCTCTCAGGTAAAAACTGTACTGAATTGTATTGATTGTCCTTGATTGGCATGGACAATAGACAAGACAATAGATATCTACACAACTATAGGTGAGTTAAAGGGTGTAACTGAGTGGACAGTATCAAAAGCATTTGAGGTGTTTGTTTATTTTTACACCTTCTGCAGGAACGAAAAAAAATGCCCATCAAAATCCAAAAAAGAATTTTATCTTTCTGAAAAACAAATTGCATTTTACTTTTATATATCTAGTGGATGCCAGGCCTTAAAACTTTTCCAACTGCACAGGTTAGTCTGTACTCAGAGTAGTTTTTGAGGTGTAAATACAGCCATTTTTAGTTCACCTGGCCCGAAGGCCAAGTGAGCTTTTCTCGTCCGTCGTCGTCGTCCGTCGTCATTAGCTTTTACAAAAATCTTCTCCTCTGAAACCACTGGGCCAAATTTAACCAAACTTGGCCACAATCATCATTAGGGTATCTAGTTTAAAAAATGTGTCAGATGACCCCGCCAACCAACCAAGATGGCCGCCATGGCTAAAAATAGAACATAGGGGTAAAATGTAGATTTTGGCTTATATCTCTGAAACCAAAGCATTTAGAGTAAATCTGACATAGGGTAACACTGATTATCAGGTCAAGATCTATCTGCCCTGAAAATTTTCAGACAAATCTGACAACCTGTTGTTGGGTTGCTGCCCCTGAATTGGTAATTTTAAGGAAATTTTGCAGTTTTGGGTTATTTTCTTGAATATTATTATAGATAGAGATAAACTGTAAACAGCAATAATGTTCAGCAAAGTAAGATCTACAAATAAGTCGTCATGACCAAAATTGTCAGGTGACCCCTTTAGGAGTTATTGCCCTTCATAGTCAATTTTTAACAATTTTTCGTAAATTTTTGTAATCTTTTACAAAAATCTTCTTCTCTGAAACTACTGACACAAATTTAACCATACTTGGCCATAATCATTATTTGGGTATCTAGTTTAAAAAATTTGTCCGATGATCCCGCCTTCCAACCATCATGGCCGACATGGTTAAAAATAGAACATAGGGGTAAAATGCAGTTTTTGGTTTATATCTCTGAAACTAAAGCATTTAGAGCAAATCTGACAGGTGGGTGGCAAAAATGTTCATCAGATTTAGATTTATCTGCCCTGAAATTTTCAGACGAATCTGACAACCCATTGTTTGGTTGCTGCCCCTGAGTTAGTTATTTTACAGAAATTTTGCAGTTTTTTGTTATCTTAAATATCATTATAATATCTAATATCTAATACTATTAATTATGATTTTAACCTTATTTTACATGATTTCCAAAGCATCAGTAAATACAGGTGAGCGACACAGGCTCTTGAGAGCCTCTAGTTGTCCATTTGTTGTGATGAACCTTAAGGAAAGAACATACTATAGTTATCTATCAATTTTGTTTATTCAATTTTAAAATTAAATAATATAACACAAATAAAACCTATCTGAAGAAACTGTTGAAATTTGAATGCTATTTAATAGGCAATGTAACTTTACACATGGTTCAAATGATCAAATCTGAAAATAGCCATTGTTTTTTCCAATTTTATCACCTGGAAAAATATTATTGTTTTGTTTTTATACGACCGCAAAAATTAAAAATTTTTTGGTCGTATATTGGTATGACGTTGGCGTTGTCGTCGTTGTCTGGCGTCGTCCGGCGTCGTCCGAAGACACATTGGTTTTCGCACTCTAACTTTAGTTTAAGTGAATGGATCTCCATGAAATTTTACCATAAGGTTCTATACCACGAAAGGAAGGTTGGGATTGATTTTGGGGGTTATGGTACCAACAGTTAAGGAATTAGGGGCCAAAAATAAGCATTTTTGTAACTTCCAGACAATAACTTGTGTGTAAGTGTATGGATCTCTCTGACATTGTACCACAAGGTTCCATATCACAAAGGGAAGTCTGTAATTGATTTTGGGGGTAATTGCCTCAAAATTTTAGGAATTAGGGGCCAAAAAAGGGGCAAAAAACAAGCATTTTTCTAGTTTCATGACAATAACTTGTGTGTAAGTGTTTGGATATTTCTGAAATTGTACTACAAGGTTCCATATCACAAAGGGAAAGCTGGAATTGAGTTTGGGGGTAATTGCCCGAAACGTTTAGGAATTGGGGGCCAAAAAGGGGCCAAAAATAAGCATTTTTCTAGTTTCCAGACAATAACTTGTGTTCAAGTGTATGGATCTCTCTGAAATTGTACTGCAAGGTACCATACCACAAAGGGAAGGCTGGGATTGAGTTTGGGGGTGATGAATCATAAGGGGGTTCAAAAAATTTAGGGGGGGGGGATTTTTTTTTTTTTCTTTTTTTTTCTTTTTTTCCTTTTTTTTTCTTTTAAAATTTTCCATTTTAAGTTGGTTATTTCTGATTTATATTTAAAAGCAAATAATAATGATATGGTAGGAGATACACACCAAACAGGATGTGTAAATTATTATATAATAAGTATTGTGCAATAGCAAGAAATTTTCAATTGCACAGTATTGCACAATAGCAAGAAATCTTCAATTGCACAGTATTGCGCAACAGCATGAAATCTTCAATTGCACAGTATTGGGCAATAGCAAGAAATATCCAATAGCACAATATTGCGCAATAGCAAGAAATTGTCAATTGTACAGTATTGCGCAATAGCAAGAAATATTCAATTGCACAGTATTGTGCAAAAGAAGATACTTTGTATAAATTGCTTATTTCTTGATCAAATTCAATGGGGTTTTATTCTTGAATTCTTGGGGGTCTTTAATATGCTGAATCTAACCGTGTATTAAGTTTTTGGATTTTTGGCCCCGTTTTTAAATTGGTCCACATTGAGGTCCAAAGGGTCCAAAATTTAACTTTGTTTGATTTCATCAAAAATTGAATTATTGGGGTTCTTTGATATGCCGAATCTAACCGTGTATTTAGATTCTTAATTTTTGGTTCCGTTTTCAAATTGGTCTACATTATGGTCCAAAGGGTCCAAAATTAAACTTAGTTTGATTTTAACAAAAATTGAATTTTTAGGGTTCTTTGATATGCTGAATCTAAACATGTATTTAGATTTTTGATTATGGGCCCAGTTTTCAAGTTGGTCCAAATCGGGGTCCAAAATTAAACTTTGTTTGATTTCAACAAAAATTGAATATATGGGGTTCTTTGATATGCTGAATCTAACCATGTATTTAGATTTTTGATTTTTGGGTCCCGTTATCAACTTTGTCCACATTGAGGTCAAAAGGGTCCAAAATTAAACTTTGTTTGATTTCATCAAAAATTGAATTCTTGGGGTTCTTTGATATGCTGAATCTAACCATGTATTTAGATCTTGGATATTGGACCATAATAGGTGAATGTCCAATTTAAAATTTTTAAGTTCTTAGACCACATTCATTCTGTGTCAGAAACCTATGCTGTGTCAAATATTTAATCACAATCCAAATTCAGAGCTGTATCAAGCTTGAATGTTGTGTCCATACTTGCCCCAACTGTTCAGGGTTCGACCTCTGCGGTCGTATCAAGCTGCGCCCTGCGGAGCATTTTATTTTCATTTTGTAAAACTTGCCATGTAACAACAAGCTTCCGCAAAATAGTTGGTGTGACCTACATTAGTGTTTTCTCTAGGCTTTCAGATGTCAGATTTCCAAAGTGGCATTCAATTTTAATTCATTGCTACAGTCCTCTTTTTCAGTAGAATTTTATTACACAACATGAACTTCTTTCAGTGCTTGAATGAATGAACGATATTTCATATTGTGAACAAGATCTACATGTATATAAGGAAAAATCAAATAACAAATTTTAGCAGGTTTTATTCAGATACACAGTTTTCATGATCAAAACAATAGCTTTTCTTTGTTTTCCAAGCCTTGGGTCAAACATTGTCACAAATGTGATAAGTCAAGAGTTATGAAGAGCTAAGCAGAGTGATACGAGGACATGGAAGAAAGATAAGTCTATATCTATGCCCTACAATTATATTTTTAGTGAATTATATTACAGGTAATTAGTGTCTACATGGGAATGCCAGTCAACCTGTTAGATGCCTGGTCAACATATAAAGCAGCATCAACAGCATTAAACAACACATTAGAAACTGGAAATGTCAGAGAACAGGTACGTAACTTTTTATATAATTAACATAGCAAGTAGAGTTCAGTTTCTGGACAGAAGGTTTGTTTTCAGATGGGAGAAGTATGAATGTATCTTTTCAGTTTTCTATTGGAATGTTAAACCAATTTTTTCATGAATATTTTTAAATCACCTTATCAAAAGAACCAGTATTACTTGGCATTAGTCATTTGTTAATATTGTCAGAACAGAAATTGTCTCCTCTGAAACCACTGGACTTTTTGAAAATAAACTTGGCCACAACTATCTTTAAAGTACCTTAGATTAAATTAATTATGATTTTGTTTTCTGCTAATTTCAATCAAGGAGCCTGTTATTATAAATGTAACTTTTACCATATATGCCTATGTAGAATAATGACTACTTTAAAATTCTACTCCTCTGAGATCATACGAATTATGTTGAAAGCTTTCATAGTTGTTGCGATTGTATGTCATTATGTTTATAAGCAGCTAGGAACACTTTGCTATGGCTCAAAATGTTGCAAATATTAATTAAAGGTTATGTTTCAGTAGTACTATTTAGAGAATGTCCCACAGACCATTAATGGTTTTATGGGGGAATCTGAATTCTTATCTTCCAAATAGGGTTCTAGAAGTATTTTTCATTGTGGCTGAAGTTGATCCAAAGGACATAAGAGTTTCATGCAACAAGTTTTTTATGCCCCGCCTACGATAGTAGTAGGGGCATTATGTTTTCTGGTCTGTGTGTCTGTTTGTTCGTTCGTTAGTTCGTCCTTTTGTTCGTTCGTCAGTCTGTCCTGTGTCAGGTTTAAGTTTTTGGTCAAGGTAGTTTATGATGAAGTTATAGTTGCATCCACTTGTAACTTTGCATACATAGTCATTATGATTCGGACTTTCTAAAAAGTATGGCAAATTTGGGTTTTGGTCCAAATTTTACGGTTCATTGAACATGAAAATGGGATTGTGTGAAACAGCTTTTTTTGATGAAGTTGAAGTCCAATCAACTTGAAACTTAGTACACATGTTCCCTATGATATGATCTTTCTAATTTTAATGCCAAATTAGAGTTTTGACCCAAATTTAACAGTCCACTGAACATAGAAAATGAAAGTGCGAGTGGGGCATCCATATACTATGGACACATTCTTGTATCTAACTGTTACTGGTTTAATATCATAGTTGACATGGAAAAATACTGGAAGAAAGCTTCACCTTTGAAACCTTTCTAAAAAAGGTTGAATCCGAACTTGTCATATTGAAATGGTAAACATTACATTTGCCAGATGAATGAACCAGGCTTGATGGAGCTACTTAAGATATATGAATTAAATTTAAGTTTGATACTTTTTTGTTTGAAGTACTTTATGATATATTCTATCTTAATGCTTAAAATGTTTAAATACATGTAATCATATATTGCAATGCAATTAGAAGTAGATTAAATAACAAAAATCAAGTGAATTGTATGAAACAGATGCAATCAATACACAAAATAATCTTTGTAAATTCATTTCCTTTTTCTTTATTAGGCTACAAAATATGCCAATAAAGTAGTGAAGCTTCATACTCCATTAGAGAAGTATTTGAAAGAAGGTGTATTGACAGAGGAGTTTGTACTGGACAATATACCAAAGATGATGAATGTTATGAGAGATAGCAATGTTACTTTGAGGTGGCTTATGTTACATACATCAGCTCTCTCTCCTAGTAAGTTTTCAGAAAAAGTTTTCAGGTACTGAAACTGATACAAGGTTAAAGCAAAATGATAAATGTAATTCGTAATGTCACTCAAAGTTGGTTGTTGTAACAATAGTCAGACCTATTAGTCTGAGTGATATTAATGTAACTCTAAGGTGTCATAGTTTACTCATTTCAATCTTGTTATCTAATGGTTATCAAAATTATAGGGGAAGACACATTTTACAACAAAAATATGATTGTGTTAATGTAATGTCTCATGATATGTTATGAAATTATTTCACTAACTTACTTTTTATGCCCCGCTGTAGCGGAGGGGGCATTAAGTTTTACCCTTGTCCGTCTGTACGTACGTCTCAAAGTTGGTTTCCGTTCTCTAAATTTAGTTTGCCTCAACCAAATGTTATGAAACTTATACACAATGCTGATTACCACTAAATACAGATCAAGTTTGAATTTTGGTGGCGTCTACTTAACTGTTCTAGAGTTATGCCCCTTAACAAATGGAAAAATTGCTAAATTTTTGGTTTCCGTGCTCTAACTTTAGTTTGCCTCAACCAAATGTTATGAAACTTATACACAATGCTTATTACCACTAAATACAGATCAAGTTTGAATTTTGGTGGCATCTACTTAACCGTTCTAGAGTTATGCCCCTTTACAAATTGAAAAATTGCAGAATTTATTCGTTTCCGTTCTCTAACTTAAGGTAGCCTCAACCAAATATTATGAAACTTATACACAATGCTTATTACCACAAAACACAGATCAAGTTTGAATTTTGGTGTCATCACTTTAACTGTTTTAGAGTTATGCCCTTTACAAATGAAAAAAATTGCTGAATTTTTCGTTTCCGTTCTCTAACTTAAGTTAGCTTGAACCAAATGTTATGAAACTTATACACAATGGTTATTACCACAAAACACAGATCAAGTTTGAATTTTGGTATGGTCACTTTAACCGTTTTGGAGTTATGCCCCTTTACCAATGGAAAAATTGCTGAATTTTTTGTTTCTGTTCTCTTACTTTAGTTTGCCTCAACCAAATGTTACGAAACTTATACACAATACTTGTTACTTGAAAACTCAGATCAGTAACAAATTTGGGTAGTGTCATTTTTGTCGAGCCTTCGACTTTTGTCGAAAAAGCGAGACATAGCGATCCTACATTCCGTCGGCGTCGTCGGCGGCGTCCACAAATATTCACTCTGTGGTTAAAGTTTTTGAAATTTTAATAACTTTCTTAAACTATCCTGGATTTCTTCAAAACTTGGACAGAAGCTTGTTTATGATCATAAGATAATATTCAAAAGTAAATTCTGTAAAAAAAAATTCCATTTTTTCCGTATTTTACTTATAAATGGACTTAGTTTTTCTGCCAGGAAACATTACATTCACTCTGTGGTTAAAGTTTTTGAAATTTTAATAACTTTCTTAAACTATCCTGGATTCCTATCAAACTTGGAAAGAAGCTTGTTTATGATCATAAGATAGTATCTAGAAGTAAATTTTGTAAAATAAAAATTCCCTTTTTTTCCGTATTTTACTTATAAATGGACTTAGTTTTTCTGCTAGATAACATTACATTCACTTTGTGGTTAAAGTTTTTGAAATTTTAATAACTTTCTTAAACTATCCTGGATTCCTACCAAACTTGGAAAGAAGCTTGTTTATGATCATAAGATAGTATCCAGAAGTAAATTTTGTAAAAAAAAATTCTGTTTTTTCTGTATTTAACTTATAAATGGACTCAGTTTTTCTGCCAGTTAACATTACATTCACTCTGTGGTTAAAGTTTTTAAAATTTCTACAACTTTCTTAAACTATCCTGGATTTGTACCAAACTTGGACAGAAGCTTGTTTATGATTAAAAGCTAGTATCTAGAAGGAAATTTTGTTAAAATTTTGTTCCATTTTTTTTCGTATTTTACTTATAAATAGACTTAGTTTTTCTTCCAGTTAACATTACATACAGTCTGCAGTTTAAGTTTTTAAAACATTTATTAGATTCATAAACTATCCTGGATTTTTACCAAACTTGGACAAAAGCTACTTACAATCAAAAGATAGTATAGAGAGGAATATTTTTATTAATTTTTTTCCTCATTTTTGTTGAGCCTGCGATTAACAGCAAAAGTAGGCGAGACACTGGGTTCCGCGGAACCCTTACGAATTTTTCTTTTCTTCAGTTATGTCCCTTTATAACTTTATATGATATGCAAGCGGGGGCATCATCTGTGTCCCATGGACACATTCCCCTTTTATTTCAATTTAATCCTTTAATGAGAAATTGTTTATTTACCGGTATGTTACACTTTGACTTTATGTACTTGTCAACTATTAATTGATCTGTTTTGAGAGGTTCTGTTGACTGAAGGCATATTTTCTGGTGTGTATTAGCTAAGTTGCTTGTCTTTTAAGGTTATTTTCTTGGGATTACTGTATAATATTTGTGTTTAGGTGCTGATATGAATAAAAGATGCAGACAGCTGAGAGAACAAGTGTTAGCTGATGCCAAGTTTAACGCCTTAACAGTATTTAGGTTGCTACTTAGTGTAGGACAGTTTGAATTCAAACTTAAAGAGGTATTTCTTTTCCTCCTTATTACCATTGTGTCGTCTTGATAGTAATTAGATTATCATTGTAACTTTAATAATGTGTAATAACTTTACTGAATTTAACTTATATTAGAAAAAAAATGATTTAGTGAGATCTTTTCTTATGTTATTTAGACTTTGGTGGATAGTTCTATTAGCCAAGAAAAAGAAAGTATGTCCTCTGCTGTACAAACCTTAAATAAGAATTTTTTACAAAAAGTTTTTAATTCTCAATAAATCTTCTTTTAGATGTTTAGACACATGTTGAATGAGAAAGAGAATAAATGGGATGAACACAAGAAGGAGGGAACGGAGAGAATGCAAGAACTTGGAGAAGTTTTCTCAGGGACCAAACCACTCACAAGGGTGGAGAAAAATGGTAAGTTTAATCTATTTTGAGAGAAAAAAATACTTTTATTCATAATTTTTATATGACCGCAAAATTTTTTGGTCGTATATTGGTATCACGTTGTCAGAGTCGTCGTCAGAGTCGTCCGAAGACAGATGGTTTCCGGATAATAACTTTAGTATAAGTAAATAGAAATCCATAAAATTTTAACACAAGGTTTATAACCACTAAAGGAAGATTGGGATTGATTTTGGAGGTTATGGTCCCAACTGTTTAGGAATTAGAGGCCAAAAATGGGCCCAAATAAGCATTTTTGTAGTTTCCAGAAAATAACTTGTGTTAAAGTGTATGAATCTCTCTGAAATTATACCACAAGTTTCCATACTACAAAGGGATGGTTAGGACTGACTTTGGGGGGTTATGGCTCGAACCATTTAGGAATTAGGGGCAAAAAAAGGGGAAAAACAATGGTTTTTCTGGTTAAAGGACAATTGAGACAATTTAAAAGCTGTGTAAGGGAGGTAATCCAAATCAAAATCCAAATCAATTTAAATAACAATGTTTGATTACCTCCCTTACACTGCTTGTAAATTATGTACTAAGAAATGATGATTGTCAGATACTGACCATAACTTGAGGGAAAGAATTATTTTTTTTTAATAAGGGAAATGGTGGGAGGTGAAAAAAATTGGAGGGGGACAATTTTTCTCATTTCAGATTTCAGAAATTAAAAGAAAATTTCTTCAAATATTTTTTTTTGGGGGGTTAATATTCAACAGCATAGTGTATTTCACAAACGCAAAAAAACGGGGTAAATTTATTATATTTTGATCTTTAAAAAAATCATACATGTACTAAAATTGTTGTAATTGTATTTATCTTCATTTTTGATTGACAGAAAATTTACAAGCCTGGTTCAGTGAGATGAGTAAGCAGATAACGTCACTGAGTTTTGATGATTCAACTTCTGCAGGCAGAAAAATAGTCCAACTTATACAGGCCTTAGAAGAGGTAATATTCAACAATATATGTTATGTCCCTAGAAAAGTTGTGTAAAGAGAAGCTGTTTGGTGCTGTAAATTGAAGAACATGGAAAATTGTATACCATTTCAAATTAATTTTCTTTTTAAATGTCTGAAGAAATGCTATTAGAAAATGTAAATGTAAGCTGTTACATCATTGCACACTGCTACACTGATTTTGATAATGGAGATTAGCCAGATTTTTGTACAAAATAGGCAAATTTGCAGAAGATTAACATAGTGCACAAGTGTTGCTCAAATTGATATTTTTGTCAATGAGTTGATAGTCTTAAATGAACTTCCTTAATGAATATCTTTTTGGAGCGAGGGTTTTTCTCCTATGATTTTATTTCTTAGAATGTTTGAATCATGTTTTGATTTTATACAATTTTTCAATTTTACTGTAAATTTCTGTCATTTAATTGCTGTTTTTATCTGAAAAGAGGAAATGCTTCAAACAATAACAAAAATGTTTTCTTTAACTATGTAGAACTAACATTTAATTCTGTCAAGTTAAGTTATATTTTAGCTTATCTCCTTTTACTTTTAAGGTACAAGAGTTCCACCAGCTGGAGAGTAACTTACAAGTAAAATGATTTTTAGCTGATATCCTTTTCCTTTTTAGGTACAAGAGTTCCACCAGCTGGAGAGTAACTTACAAGTAAAACAGTTTTTAGCTGATACTAGGAAATACTTACATCAGATGATCAGGACAATCAACATTAAAGAGGAGGTGTTAATCACCATTCAGATTGTAGCTGATCTGTCATATGCCTGGACCATCATTGATAGGTACTTAAAATAAAACTGGTTTAAACAAATTTGGATAATCTGTGTAAAATGTTAGTGGCAATTATTTCCCTTTTAAATGATAGGTTGTACATTGGTAATCTCCCTTACATGTAGTTTTGCATTGTTAATGTATAAGTAAAAATTATGGGTTGGAAAAAACCCATTACAGGACAATGTTTCATTCAATCTTTGTAAGTGGTAGAGATTATACTTTTCAATATTTCCTCTTGTACATGTAGTTTTTAATCTTTTCATTTAATATGAACAATAGATATATTAATTGAATATGAGAGGTTAGTGGGATAGCAACACAAGAAAATAAGAAAAAGAAAGAAAAAACAGATATATATAGAGTTTATAAGTTTATAAAATGTTGTATTATTATTTACACCAAGATGTCGTTAAATGAAATTGGATACCCTGCATTTATCATGCTTTTCAATATCATATGATCAAATCGCTGAAAGACCTCCCTCCTAAATTATTGAATGCTGCATTGACACTAATATCTTGGTGTAAATTAGATACACCCATTTGGTTAACACCCTCAAAGTGTATCTAATACATAAACTTATTTCTTTTAAAAGTCCTGGTTCAGGATTTGTTTGACATCAGTTTCGAAATGTTTTAAAAGATGTCCTGCATTAAAGATATAGTATTTAAATAGCATGTTATAAAGTTTATTACACCATTATTATGTTATAGTTACACAGGCTACATGCAGCAAGGAATAAAGAAAGATCCTTCTCTTGTCATTAAACTAAGAGCTACATTTCTAAAGGTAACAGTTGGTTTTTATATGCCACAGCTATTGACTTAATTGTAGTTTTAAATGTCATCTCTAGTCTTAAATCTTTAAATTAATTGAGTTAGACAATATTTTTTGTGAAATTTAATAGGATACATTGCATATTTAGAATAAAATCGTTAAAATCATTTTCTTTATAGCTTAAATTTGTATTTATAAATGATTAATGAAAGTCTGTTATACACAAGCTTAGTTGTCAAGCCTGAAAAGACTTGAATAGAAATAAAAATGAAGATTCTTTTATCTTGTCCATTTCAACCTTACACACATCACTGTACAGAATAAATAAGAATAAATGAAAACATATATATTAAAGACTTTCATGATATAGTTCTACATTTGATGAGTCTTAACCAATCCAACGTTTTGATTTTGTGACAATTTTAACCAAGTAAATATGCTTACACATATAATTGCAGATGGCTTCAGCTCTAGATCTACCATTGCTAAGGATTAACCAAGCCAACAGTCCAGACTTAATGAGTGTATCACAATATTACTCTGGAGAGTTAGTCAGCTATGTTAGAAAAGTATTACAGGTAATATACCCCTTTTAAATTATAACTCACATTTTATTTCCTTAAGTTTTATATATTTGATATCTTAAATTTGTAAAGTAATATAATGAAATAAAATTTAATGGTTCATACATTCCTTGAAGTTATGTACCCAAACAAACCTATTTAAAAAATAAGTTATACCGTACAACTAAGATTTTGAATATGAAATTGATACATGTAATTTTAATAAAAATGTATTTTTACAGATTATACCACAGACAATGTTTAGTTTGCTGGCTAGAATCATAGACATGCAGACACATCAAATTAAAGAAGTACCTACCAGACTAGAAAAGGATAAAATGAAAGAATTTGCACAGTTAGATGAGAGATATGAGGTAATGATTTATAATTAACGATATATTTAAATAGTTCCTTTGGATGAAAGATCATTTTAGTAAACAAGAGGTTAACAGTTTTTTCATAGGAACTTTTATTATAGATAAGATAAATGTTATGCATAGATGTATAAATGATGGTTCGACGATGAAACCGAAAAAAAAAGAAGATACCAATGGGACAATCAGAAAGCATAAGTCATAGAAGGACAAAACCATAGCAAAAAAAATAAATATAAAAAGACAATAGCTCACAAAACGCTACACAGTAAACTCAAAATCTAGCAACTCTGAAGTCACCCAAATTAGGAGTGAATTTGGTTAATATTCCTAAGTACCTTCCCTGGGTCCCATGTATATCTTTATGAAACTGTCCTAAGAAGAAATATCTCATAAGACCAAAGAGATTTTCAAAACGTAATTTCATTTTATTCAGTTGTACCAGTAACTAAAGGAAATGAAAGCATACACTCTCTGCATCACTTCACCATTAATATGGACCCTTTGAAAATATATGTACTTTAGAATTGTTGATTAAATTATAATTATTTTTGGGAATTTTTACTGTTTTTTTGCAGGTAGCCAAACTAACACATTCTATATCTGTGTTTACTGAAGGTATTCTTATGATGAAAACTACTCTGGTGGGAATTATAAAGGTAAGTAACTTTATTTAGTCATTGCTTTTTCATACCAGCATCAAACTATGATATGTTTTTAAGAAAGACAAAACGTAGAATACAAGAACATACTCAAATTTATTCGAACAAACCAGACTATTGTAAGGCTGCCTCAGATAATCAGGAGAATAGCATTGAAATGAGTGGAACAATGTACAAAAGAAAGTGAATTTTCAGGTAGCTTGTAATTTCCACTTGTGAATGTAGTTTTTAAAAATGCAATTAATATAAGGGCTGGGATGTATTTAGGAAACACCTTCTGTCTTACTGTTTGTCCATGGATCAATCTGTCCATTAGCACAGCTTTTATATGCCATGAAGAATTTTAGTGTAGAGTGGCAGTATACTGTAAAGGTGTGCATGAAGGAATAAGATTCTACAAACTGGTCTTAGTGCATTTTAATCAACTTGGCAAAATTCTACCTCGTAGCTGCAACTCTTCTTACAGGGTTTAATGAATACATGGTACCTATTTATTGTTTTAACAAAACTGAAGAGCAGTGAGAAGTACATTATGTTTATTAAAATCAGTTTGTTACTCAAAATTTATATATTTGTCTTTCTTTCAGATTGATCCAAAACAGTTACTAGAAGATGGAATTAGGAAAGAACTTGTACAACAAGTAGCTTTAGCTTTACATAAAGGATTGATGTTCAACCCAAAAGCTAGGGTAATTTTTTAAGTGATGAAGTACCCGTAATTCATGCACAAAACTTTTAACCGTAAATGCTTTTCACAGGTGATAAAATTTGATATCATTGCTTCATCCAGTATGATAATTTATATCATTGATGTTGAAAGAATATTAAAAAAATCATGTTTAATCCATTTGTGACTATTTGTAATAACTGAAAATCATAGAAAATGTAACCTTTAGTAGACAAGTACATGCAATGACATCCAAGGATTCATGTTTAATAAGAAGACATGTCTTAATGTCAGTTTCAGTGAGGTTCATTTAAGTCTCATTTCTCAATATAAAGATAAAACAGTTAATTATCATGAAATGTATCTTTCATAGACCAGTGAATTGATGCCTAAGTTAGAATCCTTGGGAGACAGAATGGATGGTTTCAGAGTATCATTTGAGTATATCCAGGACTATGTTAATATCTATGGATTGAAGATTTGGCAGGAAGAAGTTTCTCGGATCATTAACTATAATGTAGAACAAGAATGTAACAGTTTCCTTAGAACTAAGGTAAGTGTTGAAAGATACAGAAAATCATAACACTTTAACTAGTAACAAAATGATTCACCTCATTCTTTTATGGATGCTACTAAGTTATCTGATTTTTTTTTTGAATTTGGACAATTATGTTGTGTATAATAACAATCTACCCTACAATGAAAGTCACTATTACCTACATTTTATGCTTCATTGACTTCAAGTAAGGTTTATGTCAGAGTTCTGTGATCAAATACCAGATACTAAGTGACTTACGATCACTTATTTAGGGAGAAATATGCATTTGGGTTGTAATAAAAGCCTCCCTCCTGAAAAATAGATCACTTAATCTACATTTCATAATCCATTTACAAAGTTTTATATTCCAGTTCATTTCTAGGAAACTAAGTGACACTTTGTCATGTAACTTGGTGCAATGACATATCCAATTTCAAGAACTGATTGAGGATTACCTATGCTTTAACTTTGATATAGGTACAAGATTGGCAGAGTATATACCAGTCAACAGCTATACCTATACCTAGATACCAACCTGTAGACGAGAGCGTCAACTTCATTGGCAGATTGGCAAGGGAGATAATTAGAATCACAGATCCTAAGTAAGTATAAACCTGTTAAACATAAAACAAATTTATTGATATGCCAGCTTTACTGAGGCACCTTCTGGTAGACAGGAATGTTAAAAAACAAAGGAAATAATTATGATTACAGACCAAAGCATATCATGTTAGGGCTGTTTCATTTAAAACATACACGTTACCCAGGAAGGCACTTTGAAAAGAAGTCCCTTATATGTTTTTATGGAACAGCCCTAAGTAAGGGTTAAAATTAGACGATCAGAAAAAAAAATCTGTTTGAAATGTAGTCAAATATTATTTCATAAAAGCTTTTTTCCAGACTTACATCCTATATAGATCCTATGAAGGCTTGGTATGATGTGAAGACAAAACAAGAACTAGTGAATAGAAAATTGTTCCAGAAACTTCAGGTAAGGAACATTTTGTTGAAACATGCTTTGGATTTACAAAAGGTTCCTTAAAACCATCTCTTTGGACAGTTGTTTATATTTTTTAGAAAAAAGATTATGTAAAAATAAAATTTCTCTTTTTTATATATGCTCCCTTTTCCTTTGTTTTGTTGTCCCGGGTTTCCTTTGTTTTAAATGCTTTAATGGTTTAGTTAGATTTCTTTGTATTGATGGAAGTTTTTTATTCAATCTGCATTTTTATTTCAGAGATCAGTTGGTACTTTTGGATTAACTGGACTGGATCGTTTATTGTGTTTCATGATTGTAAAAGAATTACAGAATTATCAAGTTTTACTTAACAGAACTGTACTGAACCCAAAAGACAAAACATGGCTTGACTTACTTAATAGCTTTGTCAAACAACTCACTCCTGTCAAAGGTATTATAGGTAAGGAGAAATTTGGCAAGTTTAGAATGGACAAAAGATTAAGAAAACAATACTACTCGGTATTTAGATTAAATCAAAATTTGATGCTACTGATATTGTTTGGGATCAATGGAGACATTTATTTAAATATTCAGGAGGGAAGGGCTATTGAAATATTTATATAAGTATACAGTAAGACTGTAGAGACAGTTTTATAGATATTTTATATGGGATATGAATATGTTTTGTACTTGAGTGACACTCTTAGCCAATTTTTTAATGTGATTGTTGATATTGTAACAGTTCATGGATAGATATGTCACCACACCATGATGTAATATTCTGACTCAAAGCCACTAGTCTTTGCTTGTACTATTTAATCCTCCATTCTTAGTTAAAAGCAAAAAATACAAGTGGTGAATTAATAGTTTTGAATATGATTATTTGTCTTCCTATGGACTGTTACTTTGTGAAGTAACACATGAAATATACAACTCTTTTGATACATTTATATAGATATTTTGGGGACAATGGTAATGTTTACATGGATATTTTTGGGAAAAAAAGATGGAAAAACACCAGAAATTACAGTAATGAAAAATATGTAGAAAGGGTACTAAATTTAAAAAAAAAAAATTTTAAATATATTTTTAATAAATTGAAAATGAAAAAATTTTGTAAAGGTATATTTTTTTATTTGTAGGAAATCCACAGAAGGTATATTCTACTATGATGTCCAGGTTAGGAAAATTGTGGCCACATTTCATAGATGTTATATTAAGAGTAAGTATGTTTAAATTTTAAAAACACATTTAACAGATATTAATTCATTTCTGAAATTTAACTTTCTTTTATGGAACATCTTTCTACAGATATTGTTTAGACTTCATAGATACATCATACATGTAGAAGCATACATGTCAAACCTTGTCATGTGTAAAGCCAGGAGAATGCATATGACAAATCTAAAATGTTTTTTTTTCAGATTTATTCAAACATGGTGATAAATTAGTATCTCATACAGTTGCAGAAACAATATAGCAAAACATTATGAATAAAATAAGTTGTGGGGTAGTTGTCAATGAAACAGCAACCCAATAACAAAAAAAAACAAGAAGACCATCTCTTGAGTTCAACATATGGTCTTTAACAATAGACAGGTGTTTTCAATATGGCAAGCTTTATTTGCCTCAGGTAAAAAAAATTGCATAAATTTTACAGAGACTTAAGGTTAATCTGTCCATCTGTTTGTAGGGATATCTGTAATACCGTGTAGACACAGTAGAGGCTACCAGTTATATCCTATCAAAAACACATTTGGTGTACTACTTCACTGAATGTTTTTGACAAGATACCACTGCTTATTATAAGGCTATATATAGAATTTTCAATGTCAACTTATATTTGGGGTTGTTGGGAGATGCTGTTTTGTCTCTTGGTATTTTACAATGTGTACAATTGATACATGAGAGTAATTAAAATGCATTTTTGGAAAGTTTGCTATAGCTTGCTATAGCAAAAACTTTCCTAAGGCATTGGCCTCAAACAGGAAGTGACAGACTATCTTACTTTAGGATGTGTGTTCTACTCCTAGATAATGTAGTACTGGTGTTTGACAACTAATTCTAGAAAGATGCTTTTGAAATTTTGAGTTACTTCTTTTTTGATAAGCTTACAGCTTACAGCTGCACGGAAAGTAAAATCAATACACATCTACACGAGACAGCAGTTTCATACATTATGCTTTTATCGGTATTCCCCAGACATGCGTGAGATCCATATCAACGGGAGTACTATAATCCCGGTTTCAGGGGTTTCCTCCCATCCTCCGGTTGAAGAGAAAATAAATGTAGTGTTTAAAATATTTCATGAATGAACATTTTTCGACGCTTACTACGATTTTTACAATGTTTATTAAAAACATAAAAGCCTGAGAGTATCCCGGTATCTCATCTCGGCCCACAACAAACTAGGACTATAATAAACTCGGCCTATTACATAATCGGCATCAGAAAATCGGACTATAACAAAATTCGTAATTATACTACTTGCTATTAAGTCTCCCAAACAAAGTTTGGAGACTTATTGTTTTGCTCAGTTCTTATTATTTTTCTTCTTGAGATCTATTTAGGGGTATTTTGAGGGGCCAACAAGGGAGGGATTTACTATAGAACCCTATGGGATTTATTTTTTTTTAATTTTCAAATGACTATAACTTGAAAACAGTAAGTGATAGACACACGCGGTTTTCAGTAATGATCACAGGATCATAAAACAAATCAAATGAAATATAGCGGGAGTCCCTCTGGATCAGCCCCACACCTCCTGTTTGAGAACTTGTAAACGCTTGAGATCCCCACCCCTAAACCATATATATTCTTGTATGGGACAATAAAACAAGTCGAATGAAATATAGGGGGAGTCCCTGGGTGTCACCCCTACCTCATCCTGTTTTGAGAACTTGTAAACGGTCAAGATCCCCACCCAGAAACCATATATATTCTTGTACGGGACAATAAAACAAATCAAATGAAATAAAAGGCGAGTCCCCTGGGGTCACTCCCACCCCCTTCCTGTTTATGAACTTGTAAACGGTCGAGATCCCCACCCAAAAACCATATATATTCTTGTATGGGACAATAAAATAAATCAAATGAAATATAGAGGAAGTCCACAGGGGTCACCCCACCCCCCTTCTTTTTGAAAACTTGTAAACAGTCGAGATCCCCACCCCTAAACCATATATATTATTGTATGGGACAATAAAACAAGTCAAATGAAATATACGGGAGTCCCTGGGTGTCACCCCCACCCCATCCTGTTTTGAGAACTTGTAAACAGTCAAGATCCCCACCCGGAAACCATATATATATTCTTATACGGGACAATAAAACAAATCAAATGAAATAAAAGGCGAGTACCCTGGGGTCACTCCCACCCCCTTCCTGTTTAAGAACTTGTAAATGGTCGAGATCACCACTGATAAACCATATATATTCTTGTATGGGACAATAAAACAAATGAAATGAAATATAGAGGAAGTCCACAGGGGTCACCCCACCCCCCTTCTTTTTGAAAACTTGTAAACGGTCAAGGTCCCCACCCCGAAACCATATATATTCTTGTATGGGACAATAAAACAAATCAAATGAAATAAAAGGGGAATCCCCTGGGGTCACTCCCACCCCCTTCCTGGGAATGACTAATTATGGGAGCTTTGTTGCATCATGTTACAATTATTTCTTGTATTTAGTAATTTTTATACGACCGCAAAAAAATTTTGTGGTCGTATATTGGTATGACGTTGGCGTCGTCGTCGTCGTCGTCGTCGTCGTCGTCCGGCGTCGTCGTCCGAATACATACTGGTTTTCGCACTCTAACTTTAGTTTAAGTGAATGGATCTTTTTGAAATTTGACCATAAGGTTAAATACCACAAAAGGAAGGTTGGGATTGATTTTGGGGGTTATGGTACCAACAGTTAAGGAATTAGGGGCCAAAAAGGGGCCAAAAATGAGCATTTTCTAGTTTCCAGACAATAACTGTGGAACGGTGTATGGATCTCTCTGAAATTATACTACAAGTTTCCATACCACAAAGGGATGGTTAGGATTTGCTTTGGGGGGTTATGGCTCAAACCGTTTAGGAATTAGGGGCAAAAAAGGGGGAAAAACAAGGTTGTCCTGGTTAATGGACAAATACTTTAGTACAAAACATAATTTAAAGCAGTGTAAGGGAGATAAATCAAATACATCATTGAAATTATCTCCCTTACACTGCTTTTAAATTATGTATAAAGTAATGGTTAATGAACAATAAAGATAATCTAAAACAGTGTAAGGGAGGTAATCCAAATACAACGTTTTGGTTACTTCCCTTACACTGCTTTTAAATTATGTTTAAAGAAATGCATATTTATAAAGGAAGACCAGTAAAAATATCTGCAAATGTTTTCATCTTTTTTTTTTACAAAAAAATCCATATGAAAGATTTGACACTATATTTTTATTAATTCTATTATAAAATAGATTAAGTTAGCACTATGGTAAATTTAAATGGGTAATTATGGTTGCCAACTCCATTGGAAATTTGAATTGAGATTATGACCATATCTTGAGGGAAAGAATTTTTTTGGGGGAAAAAGGGGGGGGGGGGATAAAAAGAAATTGTGGGGGGCCAATTTTTTCTCATTTCAGATTTCAGAAATTAAAAAGAATTATTCTTCAAATATTATTTTTTTTTCAAATTTCAAATATTGAAAAATTTCAAGAAGTAATCTTTAATTGCACAGTATGGCGCATTAGATTTGTAAAATCTTTGATCACATTTATTTATTTGTTATGCCGAATCTAACAGTGTATTTAGATTTTTTATTTTGGGTCCAGTTTTCAAATTGGTCTACATTAATGTCCAAAGGGTCCAAAATTAAACTTTGTTTGATTTTAGCAAAAATTGAATATATGAGGTTCTTTGATATGCTGAATCTAAACATGTATTTAGATTTTTGATTTTTGGCCCAGTTTTCAAGTTGGTCCAAATTGGGGTCCAAAATTAAACTTTGTTTGATTTCAACAAAAATTGAATATATGGGGTTCTTTGATATGCTGAATCTAACCATGTATTTAGATTTTTTATTTGTGGACCCCGTTATCTAATTGGTTCATATTGAGGTCAAAAGGGTCCAAAATTAAACTTTGTTTGATTTCATCTAAAATTGAATTATTGGGGTTCTTTGATATTCCAAATCTAACCGTGTATTTAGGTTTTTAATTTTGGGTCCTGTTTTTTAAATTGGTCTACATTGAGGTCCAAAGGGTCCAAATTAAACTTAGTTTGATTTTAACAAAAATTGAATTCTTGGGGTTCTTTGATTTGCTGAATCTAAACATGTGTTTAGATTTTTGATTATGGGCCCAGTTTTCAAGTTGGTCCAAGATAGGGTCCAGTATTTAAACTTTGTTTGATTTCAACAAAAATTGAATATATGGGGTTCTTTGATATGCTGAATCTAAACATGTATTTAGATTTTTGATTATGGGCCCAGTTTTCAAGTTGGTCCAAATTGGGGTCCAAAATTAAACTTTGTTTGATTTCAACAAAAATTGAATATATGAGGTTCTTTGATATGCTGAATCTAACCATGTATTTAGATTTTTTATTTGTAGGCCCCGCTATCAAATTGGTTCATATTGAGGTCAAAAGGGTCCAAAATAAAACTTTGTTTGATTTCATCGAAAATTGAATTATTGGGGTTCTTTGATATGCCAAATCTAACCGTGTTTTTAGATTTTTGATATGCCAAATCTAACCGTGTTTTTAGATTTTTAATTTGGGTCCCGTTTTTTAAATTGGTCTTCATTGAGGTCCAAAGGGTCCAAAATTAAACTTAGTTTGATTTTAACAAAAATTGAATTTTTAGGGTTCTTTGATATGCTGAATCTAAACATGTGTTTAGATTTTTGATTATGGGCCCAGTTTTCAAGTTGGTCCAAGTTGGGGTCCAAAATTATACTTTTTTTGATTTCAACAAAAATTTAATATATGGGGTTCTTTGATATGCTGAATCTAACCATGAATTTAGATTTTTTATTTGTGGGCCCCGCTATCAAATTGGTTCATATTGAGGTCAAAATGGTCAAAAATTAAACTTTGTTTGATTTCATCAAAAATTGAATTATTGGGGTTCTTTGATATTCCAAATCTAACCGTGTATTTAGATTTTTAATTTTAATTCCTGTTTTTTAAATTGGTCTACATTAAGGTCCAAAGGGTCCAAAATTAAACTTAGTTTGATTTTAGCAAAAATTGAATTCTTGGGGTTCTTTGATATGCTGAATCTAAACATGTGTTTAGATTTTTGATTATGGGCCCAGTTTTCAAGTTTGTCCAAGTTGGGGTCTAAAATTAAACTTTGTTTGATTTTAAAAAAAATTGAATATATGGGGTTCTTTGATATGCTGAATCTAACCATGTATTTTGATTTTGGACATTGGACCATAATAGGTAAATTAAAAAAATTCAAGTTCTTAGACCACATTCTTTCTGTGTCAGAAACCTATGCTGTGTCAAATATTTAATAACAATCCAAATTCAGAGCTGTATCAAGCTTGAATGTTGTGTCCATACTTGCCCCAACTGTTCAGGGTTCGACCTCTGCGGTCGTATCAAGCTGCGCCCCAGCGAAGCATTTTATTTTTTAAAGTCCAAAAAAAAGTTAAACTCCCAATCTACACATTTACAACCTATTTAAAATATTACACATCTACTGTTGCAAACTTTCCACAGGTGCTATCCAGCACTTTGATTATATAAAACATTATGTCTGAAATTCTAAGCATGTTACACTGCATTGTTTATCACTTCCAGCTGTTTTTTGTCATGGAAAAGGGCTACAAACCTTTGCTAACATGTTTATTCTGTCATAAGATTATACAGTATGCCTACAAACCTTTGATAACAGTGTTTATTCTGTCATACGATTATACAGTATGGCTACAAACCTTTGCTAACAGTTTTTTATTCTGTCATAAGATTATACAGTATGACTACAAACCTTTGCTAACAGTTTATTCTGTCCTTCTGTATAGGTTGGTCAAATGCAGTTATTGAGGAGACAGATAGCACATGAGCTAAGTACATCATGCAAATTTGATTCAAAGTTTTTAGCAAGTACATTACAGACTTTTAATGAGTAAGTATTGACTAGATACCAAGATATATTTAAAAACTTGTACAAAAATGTTGTGGTTTTCTTGTAATATAAGTTAGGTGTTGTTATGATCATGAGCTTTTCTTCTTGACTTGCAAGTTAATGACAGTGGCAAACATTTGTAAGGAAATAATCAATAAAAGGAACAATATTGAAGGAAAAAAAATTGGAAATAAATAAAACAACTAATTGTTTAAAGAGGAGGAGGTGGACAGGGGTATCTGATTCCCACTTCCTTACCTCCCAAATCCCTCTCGCCTCCTTCGACGCCAAATTCCCTCTCCCCTACACCCACTTCCCTCCCCTGACTCTCAGACAAAAATCTGTCAAAAAACTTTTCCCAGAATATCCCTATTTTTACTATCCATATTCCCTGGTTCCCACCCCTGTGACCTCCACTTCCCTTCCCCTGACTCCCTCTTCCTGCCCCTCATTCCTGTGTTCATTTATCCCTGACCACTGCCTTAAAGAGAAGAAGCAAACGATCCAACATTTTTAATCAATTAAAACACTCAGTATAAAAATATATATATTTTTTTATGACAGCAAATATGTGTTTAACTTGTCATTCTGCACAGTTTGAGTGAAACTTTAATACCATTGAGTCACCTTAATACTCTTTCTGATTTCAGTGCTTTGATGGCAGACATAGAACAGCATTACCAGGACCCAACTCTACCTTACCCTAAGGAAGATAACCCTCTGATGTATGAATTAACAGCTTATCTAGAGTCAGCTGGATTCCATGATCCATTGGCTAAAATTTACATCACAACAAAGAGACTGCCACATTTTCCATTATTTAATTGTTTGTTTGTACTATCACACCTTCCTAAGCTAGTATACAGCAAATCTATCAGTAAGTACAATTATTGATGGACATGTTTATTTTATCTAGATTTTGGTCCTTTGTACTTAAATGACTGTGTATGAATAAAGAAAATGTTGGGTATATGTCAATGAAACAGCAACTGAACGACACAAAAAACCAGAGACATTAATAGCTGTATAGATCACGTCAATCTGTTATATACAGTATGGTAGGAATGGGAGATTGATTTCGGTTATTTGCAAAATTTGTTAGGTTGTTTCATTCCACCTATGTACACATTTTAGAATAATGTTTTATGGGTTATAAGTTCATTGGAAATTTAATATCAGGATGTTTACCATTTATCCATAGTTTTAAGTTATTTGCCCTCAATTTGCCTGGCATAGCTTAAAAAAGAATTCCTCACAATCAGGGAAGACATTCATTACCTTTTAGTATAGACTTTTAAATTGTTAATAGAAAACTCCAATAAATATGGTCAATATTAAGCCATTGTACATTTGTCAAAATTTATGTTGATTTTTGATATCGTAATAATCTGTGTATTTGTAATTGTAGGTGGATTGACATGTAAGAAATTAACAGATCCTTTGGATGGTCCACCATTTGTGACTGGTTGTATAACATTGCTGAAACAGTTTCACTCAGAAAATACTGATTCATTCTTGGCATTACTGGGCCAGTATGTACGATCTACTGTCAGTATGCTTCCTAAGTAAGATCCTTCATTTATCTTATGGTTGCCTAATTTTCAATGTGATTCGATAGTAAATTTTCTATTGTATTTGTATTCATGCACATGTCTTTATTTTGTTGTGTGAAAGGCTTAAAAAAAGTACTGTATTCAGTTTTCAGATTTAGGGTTGAAGTTGTAAATTTATATTTTTTAAAGTAAAATTTTTTTGATAGTTATTTCGAGCTTATCAACATTAACATTTTTGTCTTTATTTTCTTTATTTTAATAATGAAAAGTTATAGTGTTCTTAAAGAATTTGAATATACTTTAAATTTGAATTATGTTTTAGTGTGAAGTCACCAGATTTGTCTCAGGATGCCTTGAATGTATTGGTATTCTTGGAGGATTTTATTTACTATAGTGGAATGTCTAGAAAGGTAAAACTGACTTTCTTGGTTTTTTCTGTTTTCCAGTGATATCAGCTTCAATATGAATTTATCACACTTGTTAATTGGGCATAGCCATTGTACTTAAGACATGAAGTGATCTTTAGCTGTTGGTAGTGTTTATCTTTATAGATATTTAATCTAAAGAAAAATATGTTACATAAAAAACAGTTAGTTAGGAGTTAACGAAATAAAAATCAGACAAGAAAACTTAAATGTTTTGAATTGAAATTTTCACCTTCAAGCTTGTTTACATAAAACAAGAAAAGTATGCTTTGCCTGCCCTTAGAACTATACATTTATTATAAAAAGTTATACATATAGATTCTCACTGATAAAGATATTCTTGAAGAAAGTACATGCTGCAGAATTACATAGTAAAGAATGGTAAACAAAATTAATAATTCAATGCAATACAAATGTATTACTGATTTTGATCTCCTCTGTTATAGGTGATAGAAGCTCAGGTACCACCATACTTGTTTGATGAATGTAAAACTCAGCTGGCACAGGGATGATGGACTGGTTCTGTTGTTTATATAATGTGACATTCCAAGGAAGTGTGACTGTTTCCAGATGTATTGAACTTACTGCAGACTGAATACATTACAAAATTGTTATTAACTGTTATCCAATGGTGCAATATATTTTTCTAACATTGTATTTAGCTTGTTGTTGATAATTATTATAAGATTTTTTTGTACATTCTTTGTTCTTTTTCTTCAGTTTTTGGCAATATTTTAAAAGATTCTGATTTCTTTATTAGACTGTTCCCTTCCTATTATGGGGAGTTTAGTGGGTATATTTTACATTGGAATCACTCTGTATGTCTTTCTGTGCAAATTTTAGCCTGGTTTTATAACTTGTGCCTCTAAGAATGTTATTGATACAGGATATTTTTCTAGCCCACCACCAGGGGATGATGTTAAAATCATGATAAGAGTCAGCAAGGTCAAGGTCTCAGCCCTATTTCAACTTTACATATGGCTTGTATATGACTATGTGTATTTGTAAACTTTTTTATATCTCAAAGGAGATTTGTAAAGGTTTCAATTTTTTTTTTATTTTCACGGAATTTACAGGGCAAAATAAGCTCTTGAAAGTTCTTTCCTCTTTTCATATTTGTAATTAATTGGTATGTTTTAACTGAACTAAATCTGTTACCTTGGAATTTGCAGGTCAATATTCCAACCTTAGTAGAAGATAAACCTCTGGTAATACCAAATGTTATTAATATTCTTCAACCCATTCAATTAAAAAGCTGGACACCACTTTTTACCTGCTGAAGGCAGAAGCCAGTCTAGTAACTACTTGACTCCGTCCATCCTTTCGTAGTTTTCTTGGCTTTGCTTAAAGGGAATGATTTAATATTTGGTCTGCAGCTTGATAATGTTGAGTTGTAGCGAGAAAGCAATTTTTTACATCTGTTGTGTTGCCACTTCCTATTCAGTCTGATTAAAACTAGCCCCCACTATCCACTTGCGTTTGCAGTCTGATTAAAACCAGCCCCCACTATCCACAACTCAAGTGGATAGCGGGGGCTGGTTTTAATCAGACTGCTTCCTGTTTGCCGTAGTTTGAATTTTTACAACACTCAGTGTTGAAGGAAAATTTATTGTCAAAAGTTTTCTTGGCATCTATGAAAGGGTTTGATTCAATGATTGGTCTGCAGCTTTATAATATTGATTTGTAGCAAGTAAATTTTTTTACATCTGCCATGTATCTACTTCCTGCTTGCCGGTAGTTTGAAATTTTACAACACTCATTGTACGAGGAAAATTTTCATCAAAGTTTTCTTGGCTCTTATTAAAGTGAATGATTTTAATATTTGGTATAGGAATGATCAGTTATGCTGCAGTATACAAGTAACCTCAATCAATTGCATGCAGTGATGCAGGTCTAGACCCGATATTGGTCTTGGTTTTTGTCGAGCCTGCGACTTTTGTCGCAAAAGCGAGACATAGCGACATTCTGTCGGCGTTGGCGGCGTCCACAAATATTTACTCTGTGGTTAACGTTTTTTGAAATTTTAATAACTTTCTTAAACTATCCTGCATTTCAACCAAACTTGGACAGAAGCTTGTTTATGATTATAAGATAGTATCCAGAAGTAAATTTTGTAAAAAAAAAAATCCTGTTTATCCGTATTTTACTCATAAATGGACTTAGTTTTTCTGCCAGTTAACATTACATTCACTCTGTGGTTAAAGTTTTTCAAATTTTAATAACTTTCTTAAACTATCTTAGATTTGCACCAAACTTGGACAGAAGCTTGTTTATAATCAAAAGATAGTATCCAGAAAAAAATTTTGTTTAAAAAAAATCCTGTTTATCCATATTTTACTCATATATGGACTTAGTTTTTCTGCCAGTTAACATAACATTCACTCTGTGGTTAAAAGTTTTTCAAATTTTAATAACTTTCTTAAACTATCCTGGATTTGTACCACACTTGGACAGAAGCTTGTTTGTGAATATAAGATAGTATTCAAAAGTAAATTTTGTTAAAAAAAAATCCTGTTTATCCGTATTTTACTTATAAATGGACTTAGTTTTTCTGCCAGTTAACATTACATTCACTCTGTGGTTAAAGCTTTCAAAATTTTAATAACTTTCTTAAACTATCCTGGATTTGTACCAAACTTGGACAGAAGCTTGTTTATGATCAAAAGCTAGTATCTAGAAGGAAATTTTGTAAAAATTTATTTCCTGTTTTTCTGTATATTACTTATAAATGGACTTAGTTTTATTCCAGTTAACATTACGTACAGTCTGCAGTTAAAAGTTTTTAAAACATTTATTAGATTCATCAACCTTCTTGGATTTTTACCAAACTTGAACAGAACTTCTTACAATCAAAAGATAGTATCTAGAGGAAAATTTTTAATAATTTTTTCCCCATTTTTGTTGAGCCTGCGACTAACAGCATAAGTAGGCGAGACACTGGGTTCTGCGGAACCCTTGTGATTTTTTTTGGTAAATACCAGTAGTTTAGTTTATATGTTTAAAGTTTGTGATTATGTCAGTTTAAATTGAACCACTAATGATTAGCCCATGTTATTGGATTTTCAGTTGTACAAGCATTTGCACATCTACTATCCATGGATATTATTCAGTGCCACCCACTCAGTCATGGTCTATTTTGCAAAGTTTACATGTTTAAGTTTTGGATTAGGTCTGTTTAATGATAAAACAATGATATTTGCTATGCAGTTGTATTAGCATTTGCATGTCTCATTTCCATAGAGATTATATGGCCCAGCCCCCTCAGTCATGGTATTGCATATATATCATATTAAAGTTTGTGTTTAGGTCAGTTTAAAGGGATAAGTCAATGGTATTTGGTATGCAGTTGTATTAGCATTGGCATTTCTTATTCAGTGGGGTCAAAATTTTTGATTAGGTCAGTTTAAAAGTTGTATGAGCATCAGCACATTTCATTTACAAGGAAATTATGTGGCCCTGTCCCCTTAGTCATGGTCCTTTGGAATCTTTTGCATAGTATACTATTCTTTTAATTCTGTGATTAGTATATAAGAATAAGATGTGATATGATGCCAATTAGACAACTCTCCACCAGAAGCCAAATGACATAGAAATAAGCAACTATAGGTAACTGTACGGCCTTCAACAATGAGCAAAACCCATACCACACAGCACGCTATAAAAGGCCTCCAAATGACAAATGTGAAACAATTCAAAAGAGGAAACTAACAGCCTGATTTATGTACACAACAATAAACAATTATGATATACAGCAACAAATGACAACTACAGAATTACAGGTTGCTGACTTGGGACAGGCACATACAGAATTTGGCAGGGTTTTTTCTTTTTTTCTGTCCAGTAGTTCAAAGAAAATCATTCAACCTTCAAATCTTAATTCAATACATGAAAACTTAAGACCAGTAAATATAGAAAGTTTTATTTCAATAAACATAAAATGTTCCTTATAAAAATAAATGGCAAATGACTGTCAACAATCATTAAACATGAGAATTATTTGTATAATATCTTGGATTTTAGTTTTATCTGAAAAATACAATAAAAAAAAATGCCTATTATTATTTCATCACACTACTGATGGCTTTATCTAAACCATATTCCTAGCTCTACTTTAAACATTCATAATAATCTATATCTATTCTTACAGTAAGAGGTATTTTTAATTAACACTGTCTATGTAATAATTCAGACATTATAACAAAACAAAATATTAATGATGTAATGTTTTAAGTAGTGCAACAAAGCACTGCATACTTAATTTTTAGAGATGTATTTAAAAAAGTCAAATTTTCAATGACATATTCATCTCCGATTAAAAAAAAATGAATATATTGTTTCACCTCATATTTTTTTTACTTTAAATTCAATTATATTGCAAAAAGATGAAAATGGTTAAACTCATTGACAACCTATGAAAAAGGAATTTAAATTTTGAGTAAAACTGTGCATACACCTTTAATTTAAATGAAAAGATTCCTCAAAAGAAAAAGTGTCAATACAAAAACAGTCAAATGAATATACTTTAATAAAAGTAGGAAATATGTCCAAAACAATTAATCAACAACTATAAAAGCATACACTAACACATGAACACCTTTTACTGAATAAACACTGTATGTAGTTACAACGTAGTATTCATAAACTGCCTGCAAACATCTTTGTTACTGAACATTAGTTCATACCTTCCAACTTTTCAAAATCTCTATGGGGGATTTTAAGTGCAAGAGGACCTAATGCTCCTCTTATATTGTCATAAGTGTTCTTAATCTACTACTATATTGTTTGAATGAGTATATATGTGCTTAAATACCCTTTTAACTCATTTGAATGCCTGTTTTGAGGTCTGCAGATTATATAATAAAGAATTTCAAAATTCAGGTCAACATCTCTCATGGGAGATATCCCCCATAAATCAGGATAATTGGCAGGTCTGTTAGTTTCTGGATTTTCAGTCTAGTTTCTTGATGTTTTAATTTCTTAAATAATATGTCATTAAAAGAATCTACCGTAAGTATTCTCTAAATTTATATTTATATCTTCATCTTTCTTAAACATAAATTCTATTTCCGTTTAATACGTTTTCTGATTAGTACAATATTAAATAGAAAAAATAATGGAGCATGTAAAATGTCCATTGGAGTATAATGTAAATTTTGTACTTTAAGTAGCAAGCTCAGATCTGTAGAAAAATATGCAGGTTACAAAAAATAAGAAAATATGTAGCATACAAAAACAGCAGGATTTCATTTTATATAGCACATATTCAAATATATTTGAAAACGAAAATTTTATATGAAAATCTTTTAAGCGTGTTATGTTAACAAGTTCATTAGAGTTAAGTTTTAGTAAATAAACTGAAAATATATACAAATCCAACACAATCTCACAAATGATTTCTCCTTTCCCTTGCACTACATACACTTATCACTTGAGCATGACTTTATTTGAATACGCAAGCTGTAATTGGGTACAATTTTTTTAGTTGACGGCACTGCAAAGTGTGCAAACTGTCAATCAATTAACAGTTAATGTTCACAGATCTTCCATACTCAAATTGTGTTCTACTTAGAAATGTGATGTTAGACCCTTATATTACATGAAATATAGGAATTACCACTAATTTAGTTGCAAAGTAGACAGAGATTTTCATAAAGAATTATAATTGAAATAAGCATACCATTTTGCACTTTATTTAACAGTCAATCACAGGAACAATAAATTTATGACAGATCTGTTAACATCATCAAAATCTCATGTAAAATAAATGATGTAACTAGCAGAAATATTTGGTTAAAAAAAAATATTTTAGCAATTTTTCAGTTAGGACTAGAAAAGCAGCTTCCAATCCAGTCTTTGTGTAGTGCTAAGGAAAATAAAATTAAAATTTTTATAAAGATTGGTCAACTATTACTAAAATTATTGTGAAACAGACATATGTGACAATAATTCTCAATACCCTTAAACAATTGCAAAATATTGCAGATCATGTAAGGTTAAACATTATTTTTCAATGAAATTCTAATAATCTAGTAATGAATACAACTCCAATGACAACAGCCAATGGTTACTTTTTTTCTGTAAATTTACACATCAGGTTCAAATGTACCATCAGCAAACATTCTTTGCCATTCACTGCCACATGGGTATTCAAACTGTTTAATTGTTCCTTCTTTAATACCAACCAAATAACCTGGAACCTGAAAATACAATATAACATAAATTAAAAAACCCAAGCTCCAAGAACAGCAAATGGGCCATGACACTTATTTGTTAAAATTTTGCATAAAATTTTGGCATGTTGAACTTCAACTGAAATGTAAAAAAAGCAAAAAAAAAAGCATTCAACTGTTGTATTTCCTTACTTATAAATGTTATGATATTTTTGCATGGATAAAACAGTATTGTATTTTCAGTTGGTGTCTATAAAACTTTTACTGATGCTAATGTCTGTTTCCTTAGATCTGCTTTGTGTAGCCAGATAAACTCAATTTGTGACAGTTAAACCAACATTTTACAAAGACCAAGCATAATATACAATAGTAAATTTGTAGTTTGCTTAGTAACTCAATGCAAAGTTATACTGGTACTTTACAATCTTCAAAATCAGATGAAAAGTTAAAGCAATAAGTTGCCATTTCTCCTTGTTTATCTTTGATCTGCTTCAAAATACATGTATATTTATCCAATGGCCTTAGTCCTAGGTGTTTTCATTTGATGTGCAGCATATTAATGGAATAAATAAACTTACAGTAGGTACAACATAATTGCCATTTTTTATTGCAACTGGAGCTTCCATGTGTTCATGTAAGTGGTCAGCAAATTCTATCATTCTGTAAAAACATCGTTTCCATAAATCAAGTATATAACAAGTATGATTTCATAGTTATATTCATGACAACCAAGACAGTCAATGTAGAAAAGGTCAGATTTTGCACTTTATTTCTTTTTCCTTTTCTTGATAGATGAACAAGATTTTTTTAAAATAATTCATTTATCTCATGACATATATATTAATATAAATATGATATATTATATCTTAACTGTGCATGATTCAACAAACAAAGGTTTGTTACAAAGGATAAAAAAAGTTAAGGAGTTGGTAGAAAATTAATTGTCTCCCCTTGACTGTGTTTCATTATTTCTTTGTTGCCCATCAAAAACCATGTTGACATAAAGTCTTGTGATCAGGAGAATTAGAGTAAAAAGCTTTGACCAGCAGTGGTGACATTTGTTTCCAGACAACATACCACTTTGTGCCAATAAAAGAACAGAGCAGGAGAATGAGTTTGACCAATGAATTTAATAATAACAATTCATTTATGTTTGGAAAAAAATGAGGTTGATCACAGGCATTGGATTGAATATCAACGACTGTCAGTCAATTTAGATTGTTAAGACCCTTTTTAAAATTGTACCTAGTATTTATCATACCGATGAATTGCACAGTTGAATCATTTTAAAATTGTTCATTTTGGTTTTCCTTTTTTTAATATTTCATACAAACCTGTTTTCTAAAGAGCAACCAGCTGATATGAAGTCAAATATGGATAAGTGTTGTACTAGTTCACACAGACCTACACCACCAGCATGGGGACAAACTGGAACTGAAATCATAATTTAATAATAAATTTATAAGCAAAAAAAATGTGGTTACTGGTAATTGATTTTGGCATGATATTTTACGGATATGAGGACTAGTTAAAATCACTTATGAATCTATCCACCACTAAATAATAAAAATGTCCACTTAATCTGAACAATAATGTCATATTTTACTATTGTATAGGAAGAAGAGAAGAAATTTGTCAAATTAATTATTCCTTTTCTAAATCTGACCTTTTATTATAAATTTACATCACTTAAAATCTTAAAATTTATATTGTATTGAAATGGATAGTGTAAGTTAGAGATTTATAAACCTTTTTAATTAATTCTTAGAAAAGAAACTTTTAAAAGAAAGCAAGCTTAGATATTGGTTTGTATGAAAACAGTTGGGTTTGTTAAATTAAGGCTAATGTAATGTCATATCTCATCATGAAATTTCCCATGAGGCTCAAATGATTAGAAAAATTGTCATTTTCCTGTCTAGATAAAAAACAAAGCAGATTTTTATACGACCGCAAATAAAGCATAGTGTATTGCACAAAAGCAAAAAATTGAATATAGATTCAAATCATGTAACCAATTCTAAGTTCTTTGACTACAGTTATTCTGTGTCAGAAACCTATTATGTGTCAAATATTTAATTACAATCCAAATTCAGACCTGTATCAAGCGTGAATATTGTGTCCATTTTTGCCCCAACTGTTCAGGGTTGGACCTCTGCGTTCATATCCAGCTGTGCTCAGTGAAGCATTTTATTTACTTTTGAAATAAAAATATTTGTCTGAAATAACAGTAGTATTCATTATCAATGCAACACATCAGTAATAATATCAAATACCAGATGACTGTAACTGGTCCTAGATCAGTTCAGATTTGTTAAAAAAAACAGTCCCTTTTACTTTAACCCCTCAAACTATACTAACTGTTATATTTTGCTGCCATTAAAATAACTGCCAAACATTCATTTACTCCACCCAATCTACAGGCATCAATCTGACAATACTGCATGGCATTGGCCTTCAGAAATTGTTTAAACATTACTCTGTTGTGACAATGTTCTCCTGTTGCCACAGCAATACCAACAGACTTCAAACCCTAAAACAAAGAATAAATATTATAATAAGAATCAATAGTACAAATGTATTTTTAAACTACTTTATTGCTACTGTTCTACAAAATCGAGTAAGCAAATTGAACTTTTTGCCAACCAGGCTTTAAAAATATGAAATATGTCATGTCACTAACTTAACGCAGTATCATAAAGACCACTTACCTGTCCAATATATTCATAATCATATCTTTGTTTAACCTATTTTTATTTTACTTTAATATCATGTATGAAAATTATCTTTTAATAATTCTGCTCATTTTGGGCCCCATGATCGGCAAATAAAGTATTTGTTTGTTTCCATGAAAGTTTCAGCTCACCTCAGCAATAGCAAAATGGCCTGTAGCATCATTATGGTTAGTTAACTTTATTAACAATGGTTGAATAGACTTATACTTCAATACCTCTGTGTGGTCCATCATATTACCTTGGTTTCATAATAACCTATACTTACCTTAGTAGTAACCAATCATCATCTGGATTTGTGGTATTTAAAGATTTCATGGCATCCAGTGTCCAGTGGTCTATTTTGAGACTGCCTAGGTTCATGATACAACAGAGGAATCTATATGTGAGTTCCTCTGAAAATACATGATTTCTTCTTACCTCAGCAGTACAAGCACATTTCATAAAATCTTGAGGATTTTAGGGTTTCTCTATTCACAATAATTTATGCTTACCTCAGCAATAGCAGCATGGCCCATAACATCATCAGGGCTAGCTGAGTTGGTTCCTCCAGTTTCAATAATTTAGGCTTACCTCAGCAATAGCAGCATGGCCCATAATATCATCTGGATTTGTGGGTTCCTCAATCCATAATGGTTTATATGGGGCTAACTTTTTCATCCAATCAATAGATTCCTGAACCTCCCATTTCTGATTAGCATCCACCATCTAATAATATACAAACTTGTGATAATAAAATTTCAGAATATGGTGCTAACAAGGAGTAAATTCTGTTGAGAGGAGAATACATGAAATTTTTGCACTTATTTTTTTCTTATTTCACAATTGCAAAAAACATATAAATATTTTCATAAGGTAAAATTTATATAATAATGGCATTTTGTAATGCAAATAATACCCCTTCCATTAGTCATCTCAAGTTGTTATCAACAATTTGCTGTACCCATATAATAACTATCATTATATGTGTTTTATTTTGAAATAACAACTACAACCAATGATATCATGCAACATCTACAGGTTAATAATTACATTCACCATCAGTAATCTTTTATTCCCCATCAACCCTGCAAACTGTTACCTATTTCATATTTTGCAAACTCTTTTATACTTTTTTGATTGCTGAGTTATTTTCTATCTATTCTGCGTTGTTTATAATTGTAATGGGATGTCCACAACTTATACTTCATACCAAAGGGGGATTTCTGTGGAATTTGAAAAAACCCTCCAGAAATATGCACTTATATCTCCAAAAAGGATTTAGTTCTAAACGATAAAAAAAAAACCACATCAAACTGCTTTAACGTAAAAAATCTTAAATCAAAAAAATTTGTAAGGGTTCCGCAGAACCCAGTGTCTCGCCTACTTTTGCTGTTAATCGCAGGCTCAACAAAAATGAGATGAGGAAAAAATTTAATAAAAATATTCCTAAGATACAATTTTTTTATTGTAAGAAGCTTCTGTCCAAGTTTGGTAAAAATCCAGGACAGTTTATGAATCTAATAAATGTTTTAAAAATTTAACTGCAGACTGTATGTAATGTTAACCAAGTCCATTTATAAGTAAAATATGGATAAACAAGTACAAAATTTTAATAAAAATTTCCTTCTAGATACTAGCTTTTGATCATAAACAAACTTCTGTCCATGTTTGGTACAAATCCAGGATAGTTTAAGAAAGTTATTAAAATTTTTAAAACTTTAACCACAGAGTGAATTTAATGTTTCCTGGCAGAAAAACCAAGTCCATTTATAAGTAAAATATGGAAAAACAGGATTTTTTTTTTTTAAATTTACTTCTGGATACTATCTTATGATCATAAACAAGCTTCTGTCCAAGTTTGGTAGAAATCCAGGATAGTTTAAGAAAGTTATTAAAATTTCAAAAACTTTAACCACAGAGTGAATATTTGTGGACGCTGCTGCCGCCGACGCAATGTAGGATCGCTATGTCTCGCTTTTTTCGACAAAAGTCGAAAGGCTCGACAACCAGACACCAAAACACAAAAAAGGCCAATCAAAAGCATTTAACAAAAGATACATTGAAATACAAACAAAAATGCTCCATGCAATATGATCTCTAAATGTACATCAATCAAATTGTTACATGTATACATTCAATTGCAATTAAATATATTCAATAATGGGTACAAGTATTTAGTTCACATGGTTATTTTATACTAGGTTGACTTGTATCTACCAGTACATAGAGGTAGTTTTGTATCTAGGTAAATTGTACAGCGAGACATTTCATATATTTCATAAAATTTACTTCAAGACATTTTGAATCTTTCTACAATTTGTCCAAATTAGTGATATAATGGACTTGAGTACATATAGATTCAGAATTTAATTTCTATGTGGCTTGATAAAACTAAACAATGAGAAAGTGAATGCTGATTAAAACAAATTGAAATAATGACACCTTTGCCATAAGTATTCGGTAACCAGGACATTGATGTAAAAACACATCACATGGTATAGCATGCTCACATATTACATATTATTATATACAGGTTGAATCCAAATTTCAAGAAGATCTTGCTTCATAGTTCCTGACAAAAATGTGACCAAAACTTTATGGGGGGATGTACAGATAGAATGATAGATGGTGGGGTGTACTTCAATACAATTTATTTTTAATCTTACCCATAATCTATCATATCCAATTGTTTCTCTGAAGATTTTGGCCCTTCTGATATCATCTTCAACATCTGCCCCAACTTTCATTTTAAATCTTAAAGTAATCAAACTAATCGATGTCAACATTTAAAATTCTGCAAAATGTAAAGGATTTTATAAAAATTCCTATCTTAATTTTTTTGTTTGTTCATTTAACTACACATGAAATATCTATAACAAACCATACATGCTTATCTGCACATGCAATATCTATAATAAACCATACATGCTTATCTGCAGTCAGCTGCACATGCACAATCTATGGTCAAATTCATATATTTACTATTCATATGCACTATCTACAGTCAACCACACATCTTTTACATGTTATGATCAAGTACACATATTCTGGTAAAATTAACATAAACAGTACTAATTTTCCGATACCAGATGAACAGTAAACCATACATAATACAAACTTAAAACATAGCCATCTTACCTTTCCATACCTTTACTGATTGCTTCACTTGCCAACTAAAACAGAAAATATCAAGTTAATTTCAAGCAATCTTTTTCATTTTTTTGAAAAAAATCTATTTAGATATTTCAGATTCATTCAGTTCAAATCATCTGAAAGTTTCAATTTCAACCTCCAAATAAAATCAGTAAAATCATAGTAATAAATGTTACTGATTAAAAATTGGACATATTTCAATGTATACTGATAATTAAATCTTGCTTAGACCAATGATTATGATTTGATTTTGATTTTTGGTGTTTTGAAGCCACTTTTAAGCAACGCTTTTGGGCTATTTCTTGGCGGCCAGTTTTTATTGGTGGAGGAAGCCGGAGTGCCCGGAGAAAACCACCGACCTTCGATAGGAAAACTGACAATCCTAGTCAATTAAGATTGGAGTCTAGTGCACCCGCACGAGCGGGGTTCGAACTCACAACCTCAGTGTTGACTGGCTAGTGATTACAGTAGTAACTACTTAGACCACTCGGCCACCGAGGCCCCTCCAATGATTATGAAATTTTTGTGCAACATAAGTATGATAAAACTTTTCTTCTTTATACTTATGTTACATAAAAATTTCAGAAACATTGACCCAAGCAAGATTTAATTAGTAGAAGACATTGAAATGTGTCGGAAGTATTTCATCATTAAAGCTAATTACTTTTAAAGCAATAACCCAAAATAATAAAAATTAAATGAGCTTTTCATCATGAAAAAAAATGTTGTTTGAATTTTTTTTAATTTGTAAAAGCTAATTTAAACTATCATCACTTGTGTAGAAAAATGTAATTTTATAAATGAAAAGTTCTGTATGTCCAATTTTGTAAAAAAAAAATAGCAGGATTTTTGTCAAAGTACCCATATGTTTAAGAAATTGTGTGATAAGCTTGGACAGTAAAATAAAAATAAACATACAATGGTATACCATAATACCCCTGATCTTTGACAGTCATACATAAATTTAAACTCTCTTGTTTTTGAAAGAAAAGCAAAGAGGAATGATAGAATAAAAATATACCTTTCTGATTTTATCATCTGGATAAAATAACCAACCACATGATGTTGTGTAAGCTGGGAAGCCTTTACTTTTTAGTTCAGCCTCTAAATTAACAGAATTACCAGATTTATTATATTATAAATGTAGGGGGAAATAACAATTAGACTAATTTCACAAATTGTAGGCATATTACGTATTTCATTTGAAAGGTATACAAAAAATAATATACTGTATATTGAGATATTTTCAAAAAAACTTTTTCCTACAGTCACTTAATTTAAACAAAGTCTATTATCTGTTGTTTATGGCAGAAAAGTCTCTGTGCATGAAGTTACATGTTTCGCAGGAATATAAAGAAAAATTAGGCATCACAAATTGAAGCCTAAATGGGTATCATTTCATTTTATATATGAATGTCTATTTTGTATAAACCTGTATTTTTTCAGTTTGATATTGTTATACTTATATTCTAGTCTTGCACAAAAAACATAACTTATCTTTCAATTATATGATAAGTTGATACAAAATTTAACAGGAAATCAATCCTGATTTGTGATCAAAGAATATCATGATCTTTGACATGCAGTATGGGTTCCTTACAGTCTGGGCTAAAACTGAGCATTAAAACTCAATCATGTAACATTCATGCATTGCTGTCACTTTAAATAATCTTTCGATTATGTTACCCTAATCTTGGCCTGATGTTTTAACTTCATATATCAAAGATAAAAGGGAGTTGGAGTCATCCAGGAAAAGGATATATATATGCTATCTACTTTTTCCTGTGAAAATTAAATTACCTCTTTCATCTTTACCAGCTTTTCTTGATTTAAGAAGTTCTGAAAGTATATAAAACTTATCATACACTCCTGAAATATAACTACAAGTCAACATTAAAATCTGTCACCTTCGATCAGCTAACATTTGAAAATGTTTTTTTTTGGGGGGGGGGGGGGGGGGGCATGACAAAAAATTTAAGGATTGTAGTTTTAGGGGCGTTTTGCTTCCATGTTTTTGTTTTCTCCAGAAATAGTGTCATATTTCTACTCTGAAATTTGAAATATATATCTCAACAATAATGTTAAAAATCTTTAAAGATACCAACCTTCTATTGATAAATTTTATGATCAATATCAAAATTTCCTTTGCCTATAGTTCTAAAAATTGTTTCAATACTTACATCCACTTTATTTGAACTTTGATGGATAGTTGTCTCACTGGCAATCATACCTCATCTCCTTATTTTTATATTTACATTGTTCAAAAGAAACTTAAAAATAAAACTTATCATGACAAACTAGCGTAAGATTCAAATTTTGTGTGTTTTTTTTATTTCTTTATCCATGCATAAACAAAAGTTCTACCTAAGCTAATGATTGAGTGATTACTGTTTAACAAATGTCCTGTGGTAAATATTTCATGCATGTTCGGGACAATCTAAGCTTATGATATAAAAATAAATCTCATCTTACCTATGGCTTCTGCTTTTGTTAATGCATCATCCCTGAAAAAGGAAAGCTAATTCAAATGTAACAGCAGAATTGAAAACGTACAAGTTACTTCAAAATTTGAATAGAAAGAGACGTGTGGAAATTTCTATCCAACAGCAATTTTACAATATAAGTTGAAAATTGGACAAGTACAAACACCATATGGTCTATTCTTAATCTCCCCAAATCAAGAAAAAAATGTATGGATACCAACAGAAGAGACTGAAGATGTGACATCAATGTTAATTTCTGTAAATGAAAAAAAAAGAGATAAAAGAGACAGTGACAATTGCTAAGATTCCTGACTTTAGACAGACACTTAAATATGCATTTTCAAAAAGTTTTGTATGTAATTAATCTAACCTCCCCTCTTAATTTTCTGGAGCCTGTATTTGCTAAAATGGATATTTGACTTTTGAGGCTCAAAGTATCTATAATTACAGTATCACTGACATTTAGGAAACTAAGGTGTTATTTTATGACAGACCTTAAGAACACTTACATGTATCTGAAATCAATAACAGAAACAAGTTCCTCTGGTTCCTGTCAAAATAAACATGAAATTGGTGATGACTACCTCCATCTCAATGGTATACTTTTCATTATATTGAAATGAAAACATTTTGTCTTCTTTCTTGAAGAAATTTTTTTTTTTTTTTTTATATCATTCCTTTTGGCATAACTTTAAAAAAAAAACTCAAGAGAAATGAAATAAGGTTCTGTTACTCTTGTGTAATTAAACTGCTTTGTGAGTAAGTTAAAAACAAGTCACATATAAAACACTGTATGTATACATTACCATATCCACTAAAAGTTTCCACAGTGGCTGAAAAAGAAATATTTACACATAAAAATTTGACCAGGCTTTAGAACAAAGCTTTTGTATTATGATTAAACACTAATAAATTAAAAAAATATAACAAATGTTAAATGAAGAAGAAAAGGAGGCTTAATTATTAAAATATGATGTTTTGATGATGGAAAAAACATAATGATTTCTGTTATGGACAACATGATTTGTAAAGTAATGGTGGTCATCTTAGATTTTTGGGAAATAGAAAGGATATAGAGAAGATATACATGAGTAAAATATCATGCAATGCAACAAATCTGCATCATTTGACAAATGGAGCTGCCAGATACAATCTAAAAAGATCAATTTTTATAACAGTACAATAATTGTGCAAAAAATGAGAGACTTTGGGGGTATACCTAGATGAGACAGTATCATAACAACACAAAATTAATTGACATCTACACTTACCTTTCCTTCCATTTTGGCCCATAAGTCCCATAATGCATTTATAATGGCTGCTGTAGCTAGATGTGTTACACCCTTTTCTGGTCCTAACTGAAATTGTAAAAATGTGACTTTTTATAATAAGGTAGGTGACTTTTATTTTTCGATCAATTTGCTCCTAAAATGAAACCAAATTATAATATTAGTCAGCACCAATCAGTGGATGGTAGCTTTATAAAATGACAAGAAATATCAAATTTTGAAGACTGTTTTATATATCACATAGAATTTACAATTCCAATTAATTGGTTTTTAACCTTTATAACATGAGAGCAAGAAAGAACAATAAACATGAACTGATACATTTTTGAATGATAGTAATTATAGAATAACTAATCGAAGAATTCAAATAGAGAAAAATATTCAACGAGTAACCAAACAACACATTAATTCACGAATGCGCGTAGCGCATGAGTTAATTATCAGTGTTGTTCGGTCACGAGTTGAATATTTTTCGATATTTGAATTCTTTGATTAGTTATTCTATAAATATTCAACTCGTGACCGAACAACACTGATAATTATTTGGTTTGGAAGTTTGGCTGTACATGTAGAAAACTTAACTACAATGGGGATATCACATCCTCATTTTTATGGTACTTTGTAATGTTGTTTATAGAGTCCATAATTTTAGATACAATCCAAGTAAACTTATCAATCCTTTAGATAAACTTATTGTAAAAGGTTATCAATTTAACACTGTAAAAAGATCTTAAAATATTGTTGTTATTGGTACTAACATTGATTTTGTTATTAATAAACTAAAATAACTAAATATGTATTCCTAGTATGCAGTTATAAACACTTACACTTACTTATTAACCTTTCATAAAGTGTTTGTTCAGGTTATTAAATGCAAAGAAAGTATATAATATCTTTTACATAAAAACTAAATATTGACTCATTTCTTTATTAAGTTGTCAATCGGAAACAGGCTTTTAATTTGTTTTTTAGAATATCTCTTGACCTACCCATCTGATTTGATCTTCACTGCATAAGGACTGCCAGTATTTTCCAAAATTTCCAAAAATATCAACTAATTTTTGTCCAACCACCAGCTTCCTGAAGGCTTCAATTGCACAACACACTAAAAATATATTAATTTACTATTTTATCCTCCTTGTGACAGAAAGTTTGTTTTTTTAAAGTACATTTTTCTAATTTGGACTGTTGTCACCATCTATTCCAGATGTCCATAATTTGTATCAAAACGTTGTTCTGTTTGCAATAGTTTCTACTTGCTAATTAAACATTCAACAAGTCATTTCAAAAAAATTTATACATACATTTAAGACTATTTCATCATGGTCATGAATTTCATAACTGGTTTTGTCAAACAATGCCATTATAATATAAATTATCAAGAAAAACATGACTTTTAGGATTCAGTATAACTCACTTAAAAGTATGCCTTTCTAATATCACCTTCTAACAAAGTAACTTAGTGAGCCTATTTTTAATAATTTCAAAGATGTGCCATCAATACCGAGTTCAAATATGTCCAAGTGGAGCTAAACCTGTTTTCAATGGTTCTTAACAATGATAGAATGATAAATTATTGAACATAAAAACTCTAAATTTACCAAATCTCTGGAAACTAGAAGAGATGAATGAAAGGATTGATTGATATGTTGACATGTCATGCTCAAGATCATCCTGAGTCTCAATCATAAGAATAATGAATCTTATCAAAGATCTGCTATCAACACTACACTCCACACAGACAAATCCACTGACAAAGTTTCTGAAACTTATGATACTATGATTAAATGTTTACTGAGAACATCCATGGTAAAAAATAATCATGATCAAATATTTACTGAGAACATCCATGGTAAAAAATAATCATGATTAAATAACTTGTACCTATTTGTGTTCCTCTGCCGTTCAGAAAGGTATTTCCATTTCCTTGCAACTTTGAGTCTGTCTTCAAAATGACATATGCACATGAATAATCTGGTGCTGTATGCTGCAATGAAAGAAAACAATTGTGTATACTTGATGTGTAAGTTCTTCTATTGAATTTTTTTTTTCACTCCACTCAAATGATCTTCAGCTAAATGACCTATTTTATTACTAATAAATAAAAGTTTGTCTAAAATATGTCCAAAATTTATGATAAAAGAGATGATTTTTCATTTCCTATTGTTAATTATCCATTTTTAGATGGTGACATTCCCTTGTCGCCATCTTATGGTGTTTATATATCTCAACTTGTTCGATTCGCTCGTGTATGTAACAACGTATTTGATTTCAACGAAAGAAATCTCTGTATTACTGAAAAATTATCACACCAGGGTTTTTCGATATCACAAACTAGTCAAAACATTTACTAAATTTTATCATCGGTACAAGGACATCATTCGTAAATATAAATCAACATGCAGACATCTTATACGTTCAGGTATTTCACATCCAATATTTTATGGTAATATTCTTTACAAAGCACAAAAATGTCGGCATTCACCTCAAAAGCTAACCAAACCTTTAAACAGACTTATTCGGAAAGGATATAGTTACAATACTGTTGTCAAGTCATTAAGGATTGCATATTTTGGTATTAATATTGATTCACTCATAGGGTCTTTGAATCAGAAATAAACACATTTATTCTAAAACCAGTTGTTGGCATGATACGGGTTATGTTCTTCTCATATATTTTATGATGGTATGATACTAAACCCCTAACGGGAGGGATTGTACTTGATTTTCATATGATGAAGACATAATCTTTCAATCAGTTTAATTGAGGTTTGGAGCTGGCATGTCAGTAACTGCTAGTAGTCCTTTGTTCATTTATGTATCATTGTCATTTTGCTGAGTTTCTTTTGTTACCTATTCTGACATCGGACTCGGACTTCTTTTAAACTGAGTTTTACTGTGGGTATTGCTATGTGTTTCTCACAAAACATGTTTAACCCCGCCGCATTTTTGTGCCTGTCCCAAGTCAGGAGCCTCTGGCCTTTGTTAGTCTTGTATGTTTTTTTTAATTTTAGTTCATTTATATGTTTTGGAGTTTAGTGAGACGTCCATTTTTTACTGAACTAGCACACTTTTTTTTTTAGGGGCCAGCTGAGGACCACCTCCAGGTGCGGGATTTTCTCACTGCATTGAAGATCCATTGGTGGCCTTCGGCTGTTGTCTGCTCTTTGGTCGGGTTGTTGTCTCTTTGACATATTCCCCATTTCCATTCTCAATTTTATCAATATGTCTACATTATACATTGTTCAAGTCAGCAAAAAATATTATTGTGGTAGTAGAACTTTGTATATTTTCACTTTCATTAAATGCTCTTATTTCTTCCAGCTACTGATTTAATTAATTAAATTCTACTTACAACATTAAACACTTTTTGTATTAAAACAGAAAATAAGAATAAGTGCACATTCACTTGCCATTGAAACTGGGAGATACAGTAAACCAAAAACTTTAGCAACGGAAAGATTCTGCAAATCTTGTGGAGATAAAGTAAAAGATGAAGTGCACTTCCTTTTATATCGTCCCCTATACAAAAACCTTCGAGAGAAGTTTAGAATTTTCCAAAATTTGATTAAAGATGATGATATCAAATCAGCAATATATTTACTTATTCCAAATAATTTGGCTAATGCTTTTGAAGTTCATAATAACCCTTGGTGTCAGTTGGTCTACCATAAGTACTATACAAAAATAAAAATAGACTTGTAGTTACATATATATAGCATATCATTCATTGTCATTAATTTTTTGTTATGCATAATTATGTTTTATTAATATTATTTGTCATGTTGTATATGTCATTATAAAAATAAGGAGATGTGGTATGATTGCCAATGAGACAACTATTCACCCAAGCTCAAATGAAGAGGATGTAAGCAATTATAGGCAACCGTACGGCCTTCAACAATGAGAAAAACCCATACCATATAGTCAGCTATAAAAAACCCCAACATGAAAAATACGTCATGTATGTTGTACACTTAGATTATGCAATGTCATATTTATTTTATGTGTTTTATCCAATAAAATATTTGAATTTGAATTTGAAATGTGCTGTCTGTTGTGTTCATTTTGTTGTCCTGAATGTGCATGACATAATTGCCACTGTACGTTAAGCAAGCTACAATCAATCAATCATGTTTTGTCTTGGTTGTGTTGATAACATTTCATTATTTGTTTTTTTTTATGTCAATCTGAGAAAGTCTCTGTAGCCTGCTTGCCTTGAGGCAAGGATTTGCAGGAGGTTGTGGGTTCAAAAATAGTCTAGGTCAAAACAAAGACTTGAAAATTGGTATTTGCTAGTTCTTGCAAGCATGCAGCATTTAGGAATTAGTGTTAAGATTTTTATGCTTGGAGCCGGAATATTAGTCAATCTGGATAGGGTGAAATGTCATCCTACAGATAATAATCTTGTTAACATTTATGATTTATGAATAAAATCAAGCTGAAGAAAGTTGGCCTACTACATAGCAATGTTCATACTTATACAGTTAAAAAGCATCATTATGGTCTTGTCTTGGTGCATGAAATATTTGCAGCTGGACGTTAAACACCAATCCATCCATCAAATGGCTACTATTTGATTTAAGCATCAGTTTTGACAAGTATAAAGACCGACTAACCATTGCATCAGAGCCATCTTTCTCTAATGAAGTTGGAAATCGAATGTCTTTCACAATTAAATCAGTTATCTTAGTCGGCAAGCTCATTTTTTTATGATAAAATTTTAGCCGGTTGGTCTGGTCCGTCCTGTATATTAACCCCGTATCAATACTTACTCTCGTACCCTTTCAGTAAAATACTTCCCTTTGATTAACTGTATCATTATGATCACTAAACTGTCAAAAGACTCTTTCGTAGTAATTTTTTAATCATCCCAAAATGCTAATTAAACACGGGATCATGTGTTACAGTTTAAAATTGACAGAGTTACGCCAACGTTCGTATAATTTATGTTCTTTCGCCCTTTTTCAAGTTCGCCCTATTCATTCACCTCAGATTGCCGCCCCGAAAAGGCCGAGTTTTATAGCTGTTATTTCAGTTGATCTCAGTTGGGAGTCTGGACAACCAGTGTAATTAGATATCAAGTCATTGGAAGATATATTATACAGGTGATATGTTCAATAGATAAGAATCTGCGGCTCTTTTCACAAAAAATGTTAAGAGTAAAAATACTCGTAAAGTCATACACATTTCAGTATAACTTACGATCGATTTTAATCGTAAGATTTTTTGTGAAAAGAGTCACAGTATCTGTGACTGAATCTTGTTTGAACTTGTGTTTTGTTATCCATTAAATTAGAGTTATCTCTCTTTGTACACCAGACTGACTCTCTACTCCAATCTGGTTGTTGTGTATTGTGTCATGTTATCCATTAAATTAGAGTTATCTCTCTTTGTACCAGACTTACTCTCTACTCCAATCTGGTTGTTGTGTATTGTGTCATTAATAATTATTATCTGTTAGATACTTTGTTGAAAATAGATGTAAATATGTGTAAATCAATTGCCTACTTCGATTCGTCCAACTCTGGTTGACTAGAGTTATAAAATCAGTGTTCATGCGCATGTGCGCACCCTTCCCGAATTGAAGTGAAAACTCTTCTCGAGTTGACTCTCAAAATGGTGGCTATAAATACGGCAGCAGTTGTTAATTTTCTTTTTATTGACGTCGATAATAAACAATTTTATGTTCAAATTTGTAAATTTATTATATTAAAGAACTTCTATCATTTATTCATTTCCAGTTCTTACCAGGTCATTTTATTCATTTTAAGTAATGAGAATGGATTGGCGTAATATATTCACATCTTACTCTTCGTAACTCAAAATCAAGAAAATATCTTTTTTTCTCTGCTCTATAAACATCACCGAAGGTATTTACACACGAAAAATATTTATTTAATGCCAAAAAAACAACAAAAAACTAAATTTCAATAACAGCCCCTTTCTCCAGTTGTATTTTGTAAAATTTTGGTTATTTAGGTCTTTCCACTTTTCTGTGGAAAGACCTATTGTATTTGTTCTGATTATTATTTTTTTCTTTCGCCAAATTTTTTTATCGCGTAAAATTTTTGTTTCGCAATATGTCACTAAGATATTTCTTCTATAGTATCATACAGTTTATGCGCTTTTTATTTTCACCCATTCTAAGCCGAACAATTTTCTTTGTAAGAGTTATCTCCCTATTCACTGTTTATCAAGTGTGTGCATCTACTTCGTAACAAAAAAAGATATTGACAAAATTCTTTTTCTAAATTGTTCGTTAATCCTCAGGAAATTTTGGCTAATTTGGATCGAAGCGATTCGATGAAATTTAAAAGGAGTTATCGACCTTTACCAAATAAATTTGTTGGTATGTTTTTTTAACTCATAAACCATTAACTGTATAACCCTGGAATCTTTTTATTTGAGATCCCTAGGTCCTAACTTAGAAAATGAGGTCAAGGTCAAAGGTCAAGGTCAAGTTCTCAATTTTGACTTTTCCTTGTTTTTGCATTTTCTCAAACACTTTTAAAGATATATATGAAACAACAAGTGCAAAATGTTTGCTTTATTGTAATGAAGATATGTTACATTTGGTCTGAAACAATCTAATGCATCTTATAGGAGTAAGTGCCCCTGAAATGTCCAATTATAAGGTTAATTGATTATTACTTCAACTTGGTTCATTATAAAGCCATATGACCTTTTACAAAAGGTTGGATGACATATGACCTTGAAAAATGACAACCGGGAGTGACCTTGAGAAAACCGGAAGTAGCCATTTTTGCACTTTTTTCATGGAAAAGTACTCGGAATCCATATATTTTGTAATTTTAATACATTAACTTATCACTGAAGACTAGAAATGACTTTCGATAAACCGGAAGTGGCCAATTATCTCCTGGTTTACAAGCAAAAGTATATAGAAACTATATATTTTTGGAATCAATGTGAAAGAAACTATTATATGAGACTGGAAGTGACATTTACTTCACCAGAAGTAGCTAATTATCTCCCTTATTTCACTCAGAAATATATAGAAACCACTTATTTATTGCATCAGTGTGAAGAAACTGACGATAAGATGCCAATTTTAACTTTGAGTAAACACGAACTAGCTTCTTTTCAATTTAAAAATTGCTGTGGAAAGACCTTCAATTGTTCTCTGAACAATTGGTTTTTAATTGTATCATACTTTTCTTTGCTAGAGCTGCTTGACGCCATTTTGAAACTCTACTAAACCTGCCCCTACCCAGGGTTGATGTCTAGTTAACTAGGGTAGGTTCAAAAGGTCAAACTTGGGGGTTCAATTGTCAGTCGAGTAAACTCGACAGACTCTACTAACCTGAGTTGGACGAATTGAAGTAGGCCAATGTTAGTGCATAATTTATTTAGTTGCTGTTTCATCGATGTATACTCCACAATTCTTTTTAAATATATTTACAATAATACCCTATTTCTGAAATAATACTTTGGGGTTTATATAAGCTTTAACTGGATTATATTAACTTTTTATCTCATTTTTTCTGTTGATTATACTAACCTCAGACTTTGGAGAACTTTTTCAAATTGGACTAATTGGTAATCTTTGGACAATAAGACAAGATCATTTACTTCTAGATTATATTATACATATTGCTTGTTTGTTTGTTTCAATAAGAATAGATAAACATTAAGTTTAGTGGTTAGCCTTTTGTTACAAATTTTTAAATTGTAACAATAAAAAAAATAAAATTTGTATGCTTTCTTGTATGATCAAAGAAGCCAATACTTGTGAAGTTCAGTAATAGTTTTCAGTTCAGTTATTAATTAAAATTGTTCACCTAGGATCTTTTCTTCAGTAGAAGTAGTAGGTATGCACCTTTATTACTAGCTGCTTTGTCAGCTGGTACAAACACAAAGTGCTTCCTGTGAGTGTTTGGTTTGTTTTTCAACCATTATACAGTTAATGAGTTTTAGTAGAACAACTTTGTATAAAGTTGCCATCAAATTGTAAAATATGATAATCAACCCAAATTCATACATTTTTGTCATACATAAGGATGCTTTTAATCCAGCAGCAAATGTATAATATTTGTTTAAAGCTTTGTATATCAGAAGGTAAAAGAGCTGGATAATTCATACCTTGCATACAGATGCCTTATGATCTTAAGTTCCCATCTGGCATATGTCCATTGTCTTTGATCTTATTTTCCTGGTTTAGTGACTTAACAAACTGTATTTTTTTAAGTGCACAATCATTTTTCGAGTAATTATGAGCAGAGACACATACACTTCTATATATATATTATCTCTGTAATGAGTAATAGGACAACTTTCTTTGGTATATATAACTCATTGCAATGAATACATGCCTGCCAAATAAAGTTAGTCTGACCTTGATCTCACTCCTAGGTTCAGTGACCAACATTATGTTGTATGTTGAGGTCTGTTATACTGTAAGTTATACAGTAGAATGCTATTTTGTGTATAGAGTATTGGTAATTTGCACATAATCTTTTGATTGGGTTCATCTATCCTTTACCTCAATTTCATAGTTCCTGGTCAATATTGAATGATTGTAAGGTTTCCATGTCCTTTTGAGGAGGTTTATCTCCCTATGACCCCATGTAAATTAGCCATTAGTCATAAGTTTTTGTGATTACATCAGTTTTTTGGATAATGTAAGTTAAAGGTCAACAATGCTTTGATGTTAAGTTATGTTTTTTTCAGATACTGTATAATGAGGATGATGATGGCTTGGTATTAAATATCCAGTTGCAAAAATCTTAAATTAAAACTTTTAAAAATGTTATTGTTATTAAACTAGAGGATCTAAAGAACCTGTAAGGCTCACATTGCATTTTTGCATAGAATTGATACAATATTAATGCAATCAGAATATATCCAATCACTTCTGGCAAAGTTAAAATACAAAAGGTAAAAATCATAATTCAAGGGCACTAACTCCTTTAAAGACTCCACTTATCATTTCTGCTGTGTGACATTGTTTAGAAATTATCCTGCTGTTAATTTTTTTTTTTTTTTTAGTTTCATTTTAGTTTCCACCAAAAACACCAAAAATGGGTAAAAATCAGCATTCAAAGGCAATAACTTCTACAAGGAGTTGAATGACAATTTCAGCCATATTGACATTAATAAGGTCTTGTTCTGCTGATTATTTTTGATAATTACAGTTTCTCTGTATCAAATATAGTTCCTCCCACCCAGAAAAAAAAAAACAGACCAAAAAAAAAAACACACACAAATATGGGTAAAAATCATCATTCATTCAAGGGCAATAACTAGAAGTTGGCTGGCTATTTCGGACATGTTGAATTATTTGTAGGTCTTGCCCAGATGATAACTTTTGCTTATAAGCACAGTTGGTCTCTAAAATTAGTTTCTTGAAAAAAACCACAAGAGACTCCTTCAAACCTGATTCGCTTACTTTTGTTTATAGTTTCTACCTATCTCTTATAGTTTTTGAGATAATAGGCAAAATCTTGAAATAAGTAAAAAGTAGTTAAAGAAGACCAATAACCTCTTTAAGGACTCATCCAATGATTTCAGTCAATTTTAGCATTTTGAAGATTTTTTATTGGTGATAATATTTGCTGTTCACAGTTTCTAACTATCTGTTTTAGTTTTCGAGATAACAGGCAGAAGGCATTTCATTCTTTTAAGAGGCTAAATTGACAATTTCTATCAAACTGATTTATTTGTAGATCCTATTTTGGTGATAATTTTGCATTTTACAATTTTTCTCTATATATTATAGTTTCTGCAAAATACACAAAAAATGGTTACATTGTCTTTTAAGGGCAATTACTCCTACAATGTGTCAATTGATGATTTCAGCCATTATTCACATAACAATTTTGCTGTGATCAAGTTCTTACTATCTCTATACAAAATTGTACCAAAAACACAAAAATATGTAAAATTGTCTTTCAAGGGCAATAACTCATATAAGTTATCATTGACAATATCGGCCATGCTGACTTATTAGTAGATCTTATTTTGATAATTGTTTTATGGCTTAAAAATTCACTTTTTCTGCTACAGTTTCTACATCAACAAAAATTGGATTGTCTGATTTTTCTGAAAATTCCATAGGATATAGACCTTGACCTGCTGATTATTTTACCCATGTCAGATTGCTCAAACTGCTTTAGTTTTTGAGATATAAGTCAAAACCTGCATTTTACCCCTATGTTTTATTTTTGGAAACAGAGGCTAAAATTGTTAATGGATCAAATCCCTGGACACAAATTTTGAACTCAATTCCCCAAGGAACAAAGTTTAGTTTCATTTTGCCTGGTTGTTTCAAAGGAGAATTATTTTTAAAAAGTTTATGACAATAGATGGATAGAAGGATACTGAAGGTAATAGCTCTAATGACTTTTTATGGCAATTTTGTTCAATAAGGCAGAAAGTAGATCTTGACATTTTGAACATTTCTGTTCCTGTCAGATTTTCTTTATCCTATTTAATGATTTATAAGATAAACTTGCATTTTATTTTACCCCTATTTTCTTTTTTTTTTAAGTCTTGTCGCCCATGTTGGTTGGTATCAGACATATTTTTAACTACATATACCATGAATGATTGTGTCAAGTTTGATTTAAATTGGCCCATTAGTTTCAGAGGAGAATTTTGTTTTACACCAGGCACTGGACGACAGATGTATGCCAAGTGATGAGATGAGCTTAAGGTGAGCAAAAAAAAAAAATAAATATAGACATTTACAGCATCAAAAGAGGGTATCTCTTTAAATGTTCCAAGACTAGTAAACATATCATTACACAGACATCTGATGTATGGCAGACAGACCTATACTTGTCAGAACAAATATACATACCAAATATTGTTGACATGTCATTCATAGCTACAGCTGCTACAGAGGAACAGACCTAATCATGTTAACCCAATCTTAACATTGCAGTGTGAAAGTGAGGCAAAGGCCACATGACATATCAGATAGACATACATGTATACTGATACTCTGAAAACATAACCTGACCAGTGAAATGAAAGTGGGGTCATGGTTACCTTACATATGTCAGATGGATCAACTCATACTTGTCCACATAATACCCATTTTTGACCTTCAAAGGAATACCTGAATCACATCTTACATGCAGGATCATGCAGGCTTAATAGAGACAGAGTCTTAAAAAACAAGATCAAACAGCTCTCATTTTCACTCTAGAATCACTGAAATAAAGCTACACCAATAAATATATTATTGTTTATTTTGATTCGTGTAAAAATTTCATATAAAAATAAATAATTAATAACAATCAACAACAACCTCTGTATATTACGGGAAAAAAAAAATGCATCTGTTACAGGGTATAATGAAACTATACTATTGCATAATCTTTAAATCAAAGTTTCCTTCACCAAACAAAAACAAAATCAATCCATAATTTGTTAGCCCCTTTCTGTATAAATATGGCAAACTCTTATCCCATAACTTAATTTATAAAAATGATTACATACCTCATAAAGAATATGGTTTACATAATGATGGAATTCTCCCAAAAAAGTAGGCATTCAAAAATAAAATAACTATGGCAGCAACTTGGTAAATACAGTCAGATATAATTATGGATGATTTAGAACAAAATTAAGTACCAAGAGGCTGAAAGAAGCTTAAACCACTCAACTGTGTAATGCTGACCATGAATACAGTCAAGTTTGCTTTATACGAATTAAAATTTTCAAAGAAAAAAGCTTTTCCAAAGTAATTTTAAATAAGGTCTTAACTGTTCCCTAAATAATACTGCTGAAAAGATTTGCAGTAATTCACAATGTTTCTACCTGTATAAAACTTAATCTGAATTTGATGTCTGTTTAATTTGCCTGGTTACTAATCTTTTTAAATTTATGCATGTACTTAAAATGAAATGTGACACTGTATTATTTCAAGTATTTCCATATATCTTTTAAACATTGATTAAACCTATAAATTCAAAAGATGTAATGCTATTTTACCTAGTGTAAACTACAGTCTGATTTAATGTGTATTGCACAATTTCAAATTGGATAATATTATAAAAAAGGTTAAAAATGCCATATGAAAAATATCAACAATCTATGTTTCTGAGACATAAAACATAAAATGAGCTAAAGGCTGTCTGTATCTGTTATAACAGAAATTATAATCAACCAAAAGTTGACTGAATATAAAGAGATCAAACAGTCAACTTTAGTCTTTTATATTACAGTAGTTAAAACTACACATCAGATTGAAGTCAATTACACATCAGGTTCAAATGTACCATCAGCAAACATTCTCTGCCACTCACTTCCCATTGGATATTCAAACTGTTTAATGGCTTCTTCTTTAACACCAACCAAATATCCTGGAACCTGAAATGATATCAAAAGATGAAATAATGAAACCTTTTAACGTTAGTGGCAACATTCATTATGCATGTACAAAATGTTTTTCTTGCCCATGAGACAGCTCTTACTTATCTATGTTTCTTGCAAGTAGTTGACAAACTCAAATGTCTTGCTGGCTGCAATATTAGAATTTTAATAGCAAAATTGAACTTTCAAGGCCAAAAGACATATGTCAAATGAACATTTGCTCCTTGAAACCAATACTCATACCAAATAGAGCTAAGCTGTCATTTATAGTTACAGAGGAAAAGACCTATTCCTGAAACTTAACCTGATCACAGGAGTATAAAATTAAGGTCAAGATCATTTGACATATGTAAGACAAAAATGTATTCCACGCAACCAATCTGCATACCCAATATCATTTATCTATTATGTACAGTTACTGTGGAATAGACTTCATCCTGAAAACTTAACTGATCACCAGTGTTTGAAATCAAGGTCAAAGTCACATATGTACCACAAATATATATTCCATGCAACCAATTTACATACCAAATATTTTTGACTGTACAGTAACTGAGAAATAAACTTCATTCTGGAAACTAACCCAATCCACATACCATTTTCTGACCTCATCCTGTAAACTAAGCCTGACCATAAAAAAGAATTCAAGGTCAGGTGACAGTGTTTGGTAAAGTATCATCATGAGCTACCTCATTACTAGTTATAAAGGCAGTTTCTTTTTGAATACTATTTAAAACTGGAGTTATATAGTGTGATGATGATGATTTTATTGTGTTTTATACTATCAATTTCAAATGAACTCAATGAGTGTTACAAGCTCCTTTGAGCCTAAAGACTTTGGCCAGTATGATATATTCCATCAATATGCAGAATAATTGTGAAAGCCATAAACTTACTGTAGGTACTACGTAACAACCATTCTTTATTTTAACAGGTGCTTCCATATGTTCATGTAAATGATCAGCATATTCTATCATTCTGAAAATAAAATCAAAGGAGATATTTATTTAATCATATCAATAAATTTTTACTTAGTGGTTGTATGAAAATCTAACAAATAAACAAGGTAAAATTTTCACCTATTTTAAGCACCATTTCCTTAAATAATCAAAATGCCTTTTGACAAGAGCAAATGACATTGACGGGTATTTTTGTGAAACAGTATAGTGGTTAAGGTTTTTGGTAAATCAGTTCAGAAAATGACCTTCTTCTAAGTAATTTTCATGTTCAATTAAGCGAGAATGAGAGATGTGAAGTAAACATCAACGAGACCAAATAACATACAAATCAAGATGTATAACACAACCATCAAAGATCTGCCATCCATACCAAATTCACTTTAGAACAAAAATAATTCAGATATAAATAAGTAAAGAAGTTTGCTGACAAGGTTCCTGACTTTGACAGGCAAATGAACATGTGTGTGTATCTGGGGTGTTTAACAAGTTTTCTTGGCCTTCAATCCTTCCTTTTGAAATTTACATCAGTCCATTAAGGTAACATTTTACAATGACTTAAAATCAGTTGTAACTGTTAGAAATCCATTACTGGCTTACTCTGAATATAAAACAAGGAGATGTGGTAGGATTGCAATGAGATTTTTACACATCCTCTAGAGATCAAATGATGACAATGTAGACCTTAGTGACACATTACTAAACATCTGCAAAGTCATCCTTTAACATAAATGATTTTTTACTTGAATATTCCTCCATTTTCTTAATCCTCAATATATAAGGTATACAGACCTGTTTTTTAAAGAGCAACCAACTGATATGTAGTCAAATATGGATAAATGTTGTACTAGTTCACACAGACCTACACCACCAGCATGGGGACAAACTGGAACTGAAATCGTAAAATATTCATAGCATGTAAATATGTCTACTAGGGAATATACTAGAAAGGAAGTTATACTCTTTGTTAATACTATTCTGCACCTTCAAATTATTGCTATGATAGGGCTGAAATCTAAAATTTTAATCACATTCAATTTTACTATCAGAATTCTTATCATAAACATCCTAAAAAGTCCTTAAATCAATTTGATTGAGTTTATAAAAAGAAAAATCTAGTTTTTTTAAACTGATTGTCATTCTGGAAACTGGATATCCTTCCCAAAGAAGTTCATATTGTTATAGTAGCCCATCTACATTATATGAAAATATACTAACTGTTATATTTTGCTGCCATTAGAATAATTGCTATACATTCATTAACACCACCCACTCTACAGGCATCAATCTGACAATACTGCATAGCCTTGCCCTTCAGAAACTGTTTAAACATTACTCTGTTTTGACAATGTTCTCCTGTTGCAACAGCAATACCAAGAGGGTTCAATGCCTGAAATAAATTAAGTAAAAATATCAGTCTTATGCTTCTACACCAATCAAGAGAAATTAAAGCCTGTAATATTGAAATATTCAATGATTCCTATATCCCCAGCTGTTTGGGATTGCCTCAACCAAAGAGCAGTTCAGCCTATAATCATAAGAACTAGTCAAATTGTCTATCCACAGTTGTTTGTTACAATACAATATATACATGACCCATTGTTTGTGCAATAGTCCACCATCAACAATGATACATCTCATGGACATTTGTCGCCATTACTGCCCATCTTAGATTGTCCCGTAAAATTTTTACGTCATAAGAGATTAATGGGGAATGTGTCCATGGGACACAGATGATGCATATAACGTTATATAGGGACATAACTCAAGAACGGTATAAGTGACAATATCCAAATTGATCTGAGTTTTGTGGTAATAAGCATTGTGTATAAGTTTCATAACATTTGGTTGAGGCAAACTTAAGTTACAGAATAGCAACAAAAAATTCGGCTTTTTTTCCATTTGTAAAGGAGCATAAGTCTAGAACTGTAAAAGTGACACCACCAAAATTCAAACTTGATCTGTGTTTTGTGATAATAATCTTTGTGTATAAGTTTCCTTATATTTTGTTGAGGCAAACTTAAGTTAAAGAACGGAAACGAAAAATTCAGCAATAAGGGGCATAACTCTAGACAGTTAAAAGTGACGCCACCCAAATTCAAACTTGATCTGTGTTTTTTTTGTAATAAGCATTATGTATATGTTTCATAATATTTGGTTGAGGCAAACTAAAGTTAGAGAACGGAAACCAATTTCGGGACGTATGGAGGTACCGATGGTTGGATGTACAGACGGACAAGGGTGAAACTTAATGCCCCCTCCGCTATGACCGGGCATAAAAATGTGTCGCAACAATGAAAAAGTGATTGTTGTATGATGTGCTGCAAAATCTCTGGTCATGGATTGCAGATTCTGATATAGGGATAACGTCTATTTATGCATTCCTAATGGATAGCAGCATGGCTTTAAACATCATCAGTATTTGTGGATTCCTCTATCCACATTCCCCAATGTTTTATATTTACTTTAGCAATAGCAGTACAGCCCATAACATCATCAGGATTTGTTGAATCTTCTATCCCTCAATATATTTATGATAACTTTTCCAATTGAACCATTGTCAATACCATCATTTTATCATCATTAAGGATAGCTTAATTAGTTTCTCTATTCACAATAATTTATGCTTACCTCAGCAATAGCAGCATGGCCCATAATATCATCTGGATTTGTGGGTTCCTCAATCCATAATGGTTTATATGGAGCTAACTTTTTCATCCAATCAATAGATTCCTGTACTTCCCATTTCTGATTAGCATCCACCATCTGTAAATTAGGTTCACAATTATTAAAATTGAGAATGGAAACGGGGAATGTGTCAAAGAGGTAACAATCCAACCAAAGAGCAGAAAACAGCCCAAGGCCACCAATGGGTCTTCAACACAGAGAGAAAATCCTGCACCCGGAGGCAGGCTTCAGCTAGCCCCTAAATAAAAATGTGTACTAGTTAAGAGAAAATGGACAGTACACTAAACTCTGAAACATATAGATGAACCAAAATTAAAAAAAACATACAAGGCTAACAAAGGCCAGAGGTTCCTGAATTGGGACAGGTGCAAAAATGCGGTGGGGTTAAACATGTTTTGTGAGATCTCAACCCTCCCCCTATACCTCTAGCCAATGTAGAATAAACAAACACATAGCAATACACACAGCAAAACTCAGTTTAAAGGAAGTCCGGGTCTGATATTAAACAAATGTAATATAGGGATTTGTTAACCTAATTAAAACAATGGCAAGAAAGTTGCAGTTAAAACTCTACTAAAAACATTTAAATGATATCATATCTGAAGTTTAAGAACTGCACAATAATTAAGTTATGATGAAAATGTGTTGAAAAATCCATGCAAACTTTTAAATGACTGCATGTAGCAAATATATATAAACAACTTTTATATTCATTATTATGTAGGCGACTAGAAATCCATTCAACCAGGGGAGATAACTTTAAAATAAAAATTACTAACATACTTTTGCAATATTTATATATTTCTACATTCTTTAAAATGCTAACATTTTGAAATAGGATCTATTATTTCAGAAAATTCAGGTCTTGTGGCAGAGGTATAGTTGTTTATAGGAATGAATTTATTAATACCAAACATAAAAAAAAACCTTGCAATTACTACATTTTCAAACTGAGTCAATCTAGAAATCCAATTTAAAAATGAGAAAAAATCTCTTTCAAAACATATATGGATGCTATGCTATTGTTTTGTGACTCACCCATAATCTATCATATCCAATTGTTTCTCTGAAGATTTTGGCCCTTCTGATATCATCTTCAATATCTCCTCCAACTTTCATTTTAAATCTTAAAGTAATTAAAATAATGTATTTAAAAACTTGCATTCAATAACTATAAACCTTTCTTCAAGAATAAAATAACTATCTTAATTCATTTTTTGTAGGTCTCTTAAGGAAAACAACATAATGATAGTTAAGTGTATACACCATTCAATGATTTTGTTTAAAGCTTTCAAAAGGGCTGACAATAATTTAATAAATGATATATCAGTTTGCACTTTTTAAAAGACACGTCTTATCTACAATAAATAGTTATCAAAGGTACCAGGCTTATAATTTTGATAAGCCAGACGCGCGTTTCGTCTACATAAGACTCATCAGTGACCCTCCGACTTCAAGCTTCGTAGAAGGGGTGAGCAGCTGAGACATCCAGTACACTGCCCTTTTCCTACATTTTGAATATCTAAAATACATACCCTATCATATATTTAAAAATATATATATATATATTTATAGCTATCATGATTAGGCTATTTCATGGAGAGTAAATAGATTTGACAAATATCTGAAGCATTTATGACAGTATTGGTGTGAAAAAAATGTACATCTGATTAGTTTCAGATACTTATGATATAATCATCTACATTGGCATCTTATGACATCACTGATATATTGTGTCCTAACACAAATGAATTAAAAAGCACTATGACCAGCTAACAACACATGTACTATCTACAGTCTACATACTAAAACCATAATGATCTTACCTCTCCATTCCTTGACTAATCGCTTCAGTTGCCAACTAAAACATAAATACAAAGGCCTTTTCAAGATACTTTTATAGGCTATTGAAATAGATATTTCAAAATGTATTTCTGAAATTTTCAGATTTCACTTCCAAGGGCACAGTAGTTGAAATCTTTTTTTATTAAATCATAATGAATGTTCTCATATTTTAATGGTCCTCTTCTACAATAATTACATTATTCGAAAGCCCTCAGCTTTTTTTCATTGTTCATGTTTTTGTTTATTTATTTTCTATAGTGGGAGATTCAACTAAAATGAAAGCATGAATATACCTTTCTGATCTTGTCATCTGGATAATCTAACCAACCACATGATGTTGTGTAAGCTGGAAAACCTGCACTTTTCAGTTCAGCCTCTAAAACAAAACTTACCAGATTTATTTTATGTTATATTAGTATAAATATTAGAAGGAAAGTTAATAAGATTAGATTTATATTACATATTTTCGTAATAAGTTTTATATCATTCATAAGATGCATGTAATATAATGTTTTATTTCATAAAAACTGTCCTTTTCTTTGTTATTTTTCACATAGAACAGTAAGTCAAAATTCAACTGAATGTACTATTTCCTATTATGCCAAATAGAAAGCAGAGACATTCTGTCTGTGAAATTTTAATATTCAAATCCCATTTTCAAATGTAAAGTTACAATTTAACTGAATGTACATGTACTATTTAAATTATGCCTAATAGAAGGCAGAGAAATTCAAATTTCAATATTTAAATCCCAGTTTCAAATGTAAAGAAGTTCTGACACACACAATGAAACCTTTATTTACAGTATTCCATGGATAATTATGACTTCAAATTTAAATGCTGTTAGTACTTATTTCAAGACAGTAAACCAAAAATATTGCTGTAGCTAAAAAGTTTATCAAAAAGTAGGATGATAAACAAATTTCAACCAAGGTTCTACATAATCTGATATTATACCAGAATTGCTATCATTTGACCTCAACACTAAGATCACCTCATATATTTTATTAAATCATAATTACCTCTATCTGCCTTTCCAGCTTGTCTTGATTTTAAAAGTTCTGAAAGTATAGATCTTATTATCATATTCAGTAATATTAATACTAAATACCATGAAGTTTAACACATTTTTTTATAGATACATGTTCCTCTCACTGATGCATCCTAACATCCATCAAGTTATATGATTGGTCACTTAGTATCTGAAAACTTATCTCTGATGTAATAGACGTCACCGAAATATAAAATATTGGTCAAATTTGCATAATTTTTTATGGTGACTGTCACTCCCCTAGATGCATCCTTACACCAAGTTGTATGGTTCAGATTCAAAATCAATAAAGACTGAATTATTGGTTGTTTGACCTTCATCTAATATAACATGGACAGTCTTTCAAAATTTTATGGCTGTATATCAAGTAATCTGAGAACTAGTTGAGGATTTGAATGTGGTCAGGGACATCCATGTGTACATGTATGTGACACAGATGATATTCTATCTAAACTAAAAACCTCTTCCTTTCAAAAAGTTATGTTCCTACATTATAACTGAACTGAACTATCAAATTTTGGTTGTATATTCTTTCAATCTAACTAAACTTTAATATCTTGTCCTGATTTTAGTGAAAAAGCAATCCTATTTCCCTTTTAACTATGCTACAGAAAGAATAAATTCCATCGTACCTATTGCTTCCTGTTTTGTTAATGCATCCTCCCTGTAATTAAAAAAAAATTCAGTAAATGTCTGTTTACAAAATATATGGAACACTTACAATTCTCTTCTAGGGCTGATTACTCAGGGGAAAATTTTAAGTAATACTTATTATACATAATGAAATAGCATTCTATCATTGAGACTTAGATTAAGGGGAGACTAATTTAACAATGCTGGGATATGTGTTTAACCTATGGATAAAAACAGTTTTGCGAATAGATGCTTAATGTTTATTTAGGAAATGAATCTTCCTTAATGATGAACAATTTGTGCTTTAAATAGAAATGACCTTGTTCAAAGATAAATCAGAAGTGAGATGTGCCCCTCTAGCTTGAAGTCTCTTCTTAAATGTAAATATGCCTTAAATATGAATATTTTTTTTAGTAAATTTTGGTTATTGTGATTTCTATTTGCACATTTTCCCAAATACTTTATACTTGAGCCATGGTTTACCAAAAATAATCTAATGAAATAATTGTCATTTGTTAAAGTACATTTGTATATTTCACAATTTCATTACCAAAAATTCACATTTGAAGTTTTACATACATGTTTGATCATCAGAAACACTGTATTTTCACAGATCAACAGTTGTAAATAGTAATAGAAGAATGAGTGACCTTGAGAACACTTACATGTATCTGAAATCAATGGTTGAAACAAGCTTCTCTGGTTCCTGTCAAAATAAACATAACATTCATTACCTGCACAAACAGATATATCTATGTGCATCTACAAGTCAGAATCCTCCTCTGTATTTGTCTTATGTCATATATTAATTTTGTAAAATGATACATGTATTTGGAGAATTGGGGTTGATGGCATTGATTGTTCCTGTTTTATTTTTTCACAACATTTATAGACTACTGAGGTTATTTTTGTGGTGCGGTTGCTGTCTCATTGAAGTTTACCAAACGTCTCCTTTTATTCATATTCAAACCAAAAAAGTAACTTGTTAACTCATCTGGTACATAGGATCATTGTTAACACTTGCATTCACTTTATGTCCATTTTCGTCAGACATCTGTTTATATACTATAACAAGTTTCCTTATCTCCTTTGAAACTATATTGCTAAAGTGAACCAAATTTGGAGGGCCTAATGTATTTTTTCTTCTTTTTTTTATTGAGGAGAAAAGCATGGCCTCAAGACAATTGCTAGAGGAAATTGAATGGTCACATTCTCTTCTTCTCTGTAACTATATGGCTAAATCTTTTATACCATTTCAGGAATGATGACTGGGATAACCCCTTACTGGGAAGTAAATGAGAATTGCATATTACACCAACATACCAAATTTATTTGAAATCCTAGCACAAAAAGATGATTTTTAAAATTTGTGATTTTTTAACAAAAAAATAAAGATGTCAACACAAATTTGACACCAGGAATCAATTTGGATAGCATATTATACCTGCTTATTAATTTTCATTGAAATCCTCACACCAAAAATGTTTCTCAAATTTGTGATTTTCTAACAAAAACTAAGTTTAGTTGAATTTTTCCAATTTCCACAAAAATCAAAATGATCTTTCATAAATAGATATGATGACAGTGCATAAATATTAAGAAAATTTGTTGAGGCAATCTTAACTTATGGTACATGTAGGACATAGAAGTGTTGATGAACGCAGAGAGGCAGAGTTACTACAATAGGGCAACCTGACTTGTCCATATAATAAAAATAACAGTATTAACATTATATACATTACCATATCTGCAAGAAGTTTCCACAAAGGCTGAAACAAAAGCAAGACAAAAATTAGATAGTTGTCAAATTCGAAAAGCAGACAAATTATCAGAAACAAACTCATGTGATTAGAAATAATTCATATTTAAGTTTTCATGTAAACTGGCAGTAGAAGAACCTAATCAATAGTAAATATGAGTTCAGTACCAGCTGCTTAGAGTAATAGAAAATGTAATTATAATGATCTGCAATGCTTCACCTTATCTATAGTAACTGTGTCATGAAATAGAAGTTCCTTTATAATATAAGTTCCAAGTGGAAGATTTAATATTCTGTAATATAATTTCCACCGGAACAAATATTACAGTATTTGTTCCTATTGAATCCTAACCGAATAAAGGGTATAAAATATTTGTTCCAAGTGGAAAAGATATCATTGCATTGTTTATTACAAAGGTTCCAGGGGAACTTCTGTTAGACGGAACAAATATACGTTGACAATTGCATGTGATATGTAAAGTACAAAATAATAGGTTAAAAGACTTAATGGGGAACCAATCAATCGTGACAAAACGATTCTCAACAGATAAGATGTAATGCATTTAAAAAAAATCCATTTTAAATTAGAGCGCTTTTGAAATCATAATTGCACATACAAAACAGTTAGTCTCAACTATTAAAGGTAAACATTTGCAGTTAATTTGACCTCAGTTTAATTTTGGCAGCTACTAATATTTCAGATAGCTCTTTTTGTGAAATCAAATACATCTGACCAACTGCAATATATAAACATCTATACAATTGATTCATTTAATTTGTGTTCTAAGATTTGCTAATATAACAGCAAAATATATAAATAACACTCACCTTCCCTTCCATTTTAGCCCATAAATCCCATATTGCATTAACAATGGCTGCTGTAGCTAGATGCGTTACACCCTTTTCTGGTCCTAACTGAAAAAAAAAATGAAATGGACCATATGTTTTCAGTTGCATGATTTCTGGTCTATTTGATTAATATCTATGTCTTGAACTTTGACCTCAGAATGATAGAATGATATTAAATTCAAAAGTGGGTGGGTGCTGGCAAGCTAATGTTTGGCGTGATACTTGTAAAATGTCTATGAATTTATCATATGATGAAGCTCCATAGGGCGAGTGAGAGGGCCAGCTCCACCACCTCTTCCTGAATCCGCCTCTGGTGGTACTGAGATTAAAGCACAAAACAAAATAGTTAAGGATAAGCACTTAATTAAATGATAATAGCTTTAAACAAATGACAAAAACATCAAAACATCAACTATAACAATATGAAACAAGAATGTGTCCATAGTACACGGATGCCCCACTCGCACTATAATTTTCAATGTTGAGTGGACCGTGAAATTTGGGTCAAAACTCTAATTTGGCATTAAAATTAGAAAGATCATATAGGGAACATGTGAACAAAGTTTCAAGTTGATTGGACTTCAACTTCATCAAAAACTTCCTTGACCAAAAACTTTAACCTGAAGAGGGACAGACGGACGGACGAACGAACGGACAAACGAACGAACGGACGCACAGACCGAAAAACATAATGCCCCTAGGTGGGGCATAAAAATACTGCTGCAAATTTCAAGTTGCTTTATAAATAACTGTGAGATGAAATCGTAAACACATGCATATTTAACTTACTGAAAAATATACACTCCATATAAATATGGATCCAATTAGGCATTACCATCAAGGAAAGGAAGTCAATAATGAGAAAAGAAGTCCTTTCAATTTGTCATAAATTTTGGTATAAAGATTTCCAAGGTTAAAAAAAAGATAGATCACTCGCTTTTAACTAGGGATGTCAATGAAAACTCGAGTATCACTCAGTAGAACCAAGTATCGAATACCAAAATGATACTCAGATAATTGGTTTCCTGTTAGAATGTTGTGGCCTTCTTTATATCTAATTGATTATTTTAAGAACACCTCTAAGGAAATTAAAAAGTAATCTTTGATTAAAAATTACAATTAAAATATCTTTCGAATGTTTGTGTTATTGTCATTAAAAATTCTTCCGAAAAAGGTGGGCTATGCACCAGAGCAGCTTTTTTTGGCTTTTAGCATGTTTAGTGCCTTAGCCATTCCATCATATCTGTACCTTCAGAGCAAATATTTTCATCTGCAGGACTGTTAGTTAAGTAACAAAGTTGAGAAACCGAATATGCCTAGAAAAGTTGACAAGATCATATTTCTAATACATTTGTAGCACCCTGTGGTGACCCTCAGAGAATGTATCATTATATGTGTTTAATTGATGATTACCGAATACTGTTGTTTGATCTGATTTGACTTTGTAATCATTTTTCAAAAGGTGTTTATTAAATAATAGATTATATTATTGTTTACATAATTAGTTCATGTAGTAAATGAGCTATTAATTATGATATAAAATTCTTTGGACTTTATATTGTCCTAGATGATAATGTTGAGGGTTTTACGTCCATTAAACAACAACCCCAAATACGTAAAATATGTACAATTTTGTGTTTCCATTTTGAAGATATTTTTTACAAGCGAGTACTTGAGTATCGCTTGCTGAAGCAAACTAGTACTCAATTAGTAATACTTCAGCGAGTTGAAATCCCTACATTTAACATTGGCATGAGTAAGAGTTGAAATCCCTGTGTTTATTGAGTGTCAGCCATGTCATTATGTGTATCCTGATACTATATAAAAATAAGGAGATGTGATATGATTGCCAATGAGACATCTATCCACCGAAGTTCAAATGAAGTGGAAATAAGCAATTATAGGCAACCGTATGGCCCTCAACAATGAGAAAAACCTATACCGCATGGTCGGCTATACTCCTCTTATACAAAATGTATTATAGTGAAATGTATAAGCTTATTCAAAATATACCTAGCTGTTAAAGTTGACTTACCCATCTGATTTGGTCTTCACTACATATAGACTGCCAGAATTGTCCAAAATCTCCAAAAATATCAGCTAATTTCTGTCCAACTACCAGCTTTTTGAAGGCTTCTACAGCACAACAGACTGAAAATAAAACATTGGAGAAATGAACTTTTTATAATGTAATTAACAAATAATTTTCATGGATTACTAGTTTTCACTATTCATGTAACAAAAGAACAATCAATTATAATGCTTGAAAACTGTATTCATACTAGAATTCATAGAACAACATTATAAAACCATGAAATGAGTGTACCCGGTATGTTTCATAAGCAGAATAAAAAGTTTTTAAGACTTGTAGCTAAAAGCAAACGTGCTTATTTATATCTGTGATAAGCTAAAACAGTTATACAATGAAAAAGAGTGAAGTGGGGAGAGATTGCATATACTAAAGCAGATATTTTTTATGGATTTGTGATTAAAAATTAAGAAAAGGGGAACAAAATTTCAAGTAACAAAACAATAGAACTTGTTATTAGCTGTACCAGTTTTTTAATTTATCATAAGCCAAGAACAGAATAAAATGCTTCGCTGGGCGCAGCTTGATACGACCGCAGAGGTCGAACCCTGAACAGTTGGGGCAAGTATGGACACAACACTCAAGCTTGATACAGCTCTGAATTTGGATTGTGATTAAATATTTGACACAGCATAGGTTTCTGACACAGAAAGAATGTGGTCTAAGAACTTCAATTTTTTTAATTTACCTATTATGGTCCAATGTCCAAAATCAAAATACATGGTTAGATTCAGCATATCAAAGAACCTCATATATTCAATTTTTGTTGAAATCAAACAAAGTTTAATTTTGGACCCCAACTTGGACAAACTTGAAAACTGGTCCCATAATCAAAAATCTAAACACATGTTTAGATTCAGCATATCAAAGTACCCCAAGAATTCAATTTTTGTTAAAATCAAACTAAGTTTAATTTTGGACCCTTTGGACCTTAATGTAGACCAATTTAAAAAACGGGACCCAAAATTAAAAATCTAAAAACACGGTTAGATTTGGCATATCAAAGAACCCCAATAATTCAATTTTTGATGAAATCAAACAAAGTTTAATTTTGGACCTTTTGACCTCAATATGAACCAATTTGATAGCGGGCCCAAAAAATAAAAAATCTAAATACATGGTAAGATTCAGCATATCAAAGAACCCCATATATTCAATTTTTGTTGAAATCAAACAAAGTTTAATTTTGGACCCCAATTTGGACCAACTTGAAAACTGGGCCAAAAATCTAAAATCTAAATACATGTTTAGATTCAGCATATCAAAGAACCCCATATATTCAATTTTTGTTGAAATCAAACAAAGTTTAATTTTGGACCCCAACTTGGACCAACTTGAAAACTGGGCCCATAATCAAAAATCTAAACACATGTTTAGATTCAGCATATCAAAGAACCCCAAGAATTCAATTTTTGTTAAAATCAAACTAAGTTTAATTTTGGACCCTTTGGACCTTAATGTAGACCAATTTAAAAACGGGACCCAAAATTAAAAATCTAAATACACGGTTAGATTTGGCATATCAAAGAACCCCAATAATTCAATTTTTGATGAAATCAAACAAAGTTTAAATTTGGACCCTTTTGACCTCAATATGAACCAATTTGATAGCGGGTCCACAAATAAAAAATCTAAATACATGGTTAGATTCAGCATATCAAAGAACCCCAAGAATTCAATTTTTGATGAAATCAAACAAAGTTTAATTTTGGACCCTTTTGACCTCAATGTGGACAAAGTTGATAACGGGGCCCAAAAATCAAAAATCTAAATACATGGTTAGATTCAGCATATCAAAGAACCCCATATATTCAATTTTTGTTGAAATCAAACAAAGTTTAATTTTGGACCCCGATTTGGACCAACTTGAAAACTGGGCCCATAATCAAAAATCTAAATACATGTTTAGATTCAGCATATCAAAGAACCCTAAAAATTCAATTTTTGTTAAAATCAAACTAAGTTTAATTTTGGACCCTTTTGACCTTAATGTAGACCAATTTGAAAACGGAACCAAAAATTAAGAATCTAAATACACGGTTAGATTCGGCATATCAAAGATCCCCAATAATTCAATTTTTGATGAAATTAAACAAAGTTAAATTTTGGACCCTTTGGACCTCAATGTGGACCAATTTAAAAACGGGGCCCAAAATCCAAAAACTTAATACACGGTTAGATTCAGCATATTAAAGAACCCCAAGAATTCAAGAATAAAATCCCATTGAAATTGATCAAGAAATAAGTAATTTATACGGAGTATCTTCTTTTGCACAATACTGTGCAATTGAATATTTCTTGCTATTGTGCAATACTGTACAATTGACAATTTCTTGCTATTGTGCAATATTGTGCTATTGGATATTTCTTGCTATTGCGCAATACTGTGCAATTGAAGATTTCTTGCTATTGCGCAATACTGTGCAATTGAAGATTTCTTGCAATTGTGCAATACTGTGCAATTGAAAATTTCTTGCTATTGCACAATACTTATTATATAATAATTTACACATCCTGTTTGGTGTGTATCTCCTACCATATCATTATTATTTGCTTTTAAATATTAATCAGAAATAACCAACTTAAAATGGAAAATTTTAAAAGAAAAAAAAAAGGAAAAAAAGAAAAAAAAAGAAACCCCCCCCCCCCCCAATTTTTTGAACCCCCTTATGATTCATCACCCCCAAACTCAATCCAAGCCTTCCCTTTGTGGTATGGTACCTTGCAGTACAATTTCAGAGAGATCCATACACTTGAACACAAGTTATTGTCTGGAAACTAGAAAAATGCTTATTTTTGGCCCCTTTTTGGCCCCTAATTCCTAAACGTTTCGGGCAATTACCCACAAACTCAATTCCAGCTTTCCCTTTGTGATATGGAACTTTGTAGTACAATTTCAGAAATATTCAAACACTTACACACAAGTTATTGTCATGAAACTAGAAAAATGCTTGTTTTTTGCCCCTTTTTTGGCCCCTAATTCCTAAAATTTTGAGGCAATTACCCCCAAAATCAATTACAGCCTTCCCTTTGTGATATGGAACCTTGTGGTACAATGTCAGAGAGATCCATACACTTACACACAAGTTATTGTCTGGAAGTTACAAAAATGCTTATTTTTGGCCCCTTTTTGGCCCCTAATTCCTTAACTGTTGGTACCATAACCCCCAAAATCAATCCCAACCTTCCTTTTGTGGTATTGAACCTTATGGTAAAATTTCATGGAGATCCATTCACTTAAACTAAAGTTAGAGTGCGAAAACCAATGTGTCTTCAGACGACGCCGGACGACGCCATACGACAACGACGACGACGACGACGACGACGACGACGACGACAACGACGCCAACGTCATACCAATATACGACCAAAAAATTTTCAATTTTTGCGGTCGTATAAAAATAAGGAGATTTGCTTCCCATGACACCTTCCAAAAACGATAGGAAAACAAAAGAAAAGCTTGACATAAATTTCGTGACTGTAGCATAAAAATTTAATTAAAAGAATTGATTGCTTCCATGCTTCTTACAAATAGTGCTTTGGTCAGCACTTTTGCACAAAAATCAAATTACAAAAAGAAGATATGGTTAGTCAATGCAAATCCATCACAGTATGGTATTCAGATTAAACTTTTGATATAACGATCACAATGATAGTATGTTTTTTACAGAAAACAAAGAACTTTGGTTTAATAAAGAACATGATTATAAAATGTGAATTTATTTGTGGTCCTCTGCTATTTAGAAAGTTATTAACCCTGTTCCATGCAAAGTAAAGTTAGTTTTCAAACTGATATACTGTATGTTCATGAATCATCCGGCTGGTACTGCAAAAAAAAAAGTTTTGTTTATGTACCTATGTGCGTTCCTCTACCGGCAGTAAAGGTTATACCATTTCCAGCAAAAGCAGAATCGGTAATCAGTGTTACATGGACACATGAATAATCTGGTGCCCTGTGCTGCAATAAAGGATTTATATATTGTACCTATTTCTGTGCCTTTACCAGCAGTAAAAGTTAAACCATTTCCAGAAAATGTGGAATCAGTAATTATTGTGACATATGAACATGATAAGTCTGGTTTTTTACACTGAAAATAAAAACAGAACAATAAATTGTAAACCATATATTCTTTTTAGGGAAAACTGTACAAAATTCTGTCCTTGAGAACATTTCAAATTCAACGATTTTCCTTATTAAGATAGGTCTAATGATCTACCATTTAAAAATGAAAGAATTTGTATTGTTTCATCATGTTCATTCCAAAACAAAAAATTTTGAGTTGAAAGTCATTTTTTAATTATTGGGATATAACCATAGCCTTTTAGGTATTTCTTTGTATCTTTCATTGCTTTCCAGATCTAACTAAGACAAAGGATTTGATTCAGATTGTATATCCCATTAAGTTGTTGTACAACTATTTCAATTACTATTTTCCCAATTAAAATCTTTTTGAGAAAATCTAACATTTTTTTAAGGAAAATCATCATTGTATTAATACATGTAATTATTTTTTATTCATTCTTTTGCGGTTTATTTGAGATAACTTAACAGCACTCTAAAGAAATTAACTTTACATATCAATAGTTTCAATACATGTATTAAAAAATAACAGGAATGAAATGGTTAAATAATTATAAAAAATTGTTTAATTTACATTTTTATGAAATCTGAAATGTTCACAAGTACAGAAAAATGTACAAGACATGATAAATAGCATATCATGCTTAACATCTATAAGTGTTCCTCAGCCAACAATGAATGTCATGCCTTGATAAAAAAAAACCATATCATGCTTAATACCTATATGTGTTCCTCTCCCAACAGTGAAGGTCATCCCTCGTCCCTCTATTTCACTGTCTGTCTTTACAGTAACGTATGCAAGAGAATAATCTGGGGATTTATGCTGAAAATAATTAAAATTTTGGCAGTTCACCTCAATAGCAATTTTTGAAGGTTGAGAATGTAAAACCATCAAACACACTTTGTTTTAATACTTAATGTATCACGATTTCATGTCCATTAAAAAATTCTGGTGGTCTTCTTTTAATAATCCTATATTTACACTATATCTTTATTTCATTGACAAGTTTTATTGCGTTATGCATGCATATTTTGCAGTGGTAAAAATTTAGTCAGTGTCACCAGTTATTGTGAAAATTGAACTAAATACTTCTTAGTTTATAATTATGAACAAATGTTAGATTAATTGGAGTTTGGTTTCTAAAGTGTAGTTAAACATTAGTAATTCAATGAAAAAAATAAGGTAAAATTATATATAAAAAAAACATCTTCAAATAATTACAACTGGTTATGCCCAAGGCCAAAATATTTGAAAGTCCAAAACCTTATACAGATGTTGAAGAGCTGACAAAACCCAACAGACACAAAAGTGATATCCAATTAAACCTTTACAAGAAATTATAACAATTCTTCCTGAGTGAGATTTCTGCTTTGAAAATTTACAAACTGATTTAATTTTGCTTTCAAAACAAATGGTATATAGTAGTAAACATATTTGATGTAGGTATGAAGTTTTTGGTAATCTGGTATGATAACTGAAAAATATATACGAATGTGCTCATTTCACCAAAATGTAAAGTGAAATTGTATCAGTATCAAAATTTTATCTAAATCCACTTCTGACTTTTATGCACAAGAGGAGGTACTGGTGCAGTCTTTCAAAAGCTGGTTTGAAGACTTTGATTGACTTGGTCCTGACCTCTTTTCCCGTCACGGTGTCAGATGGTTCCAGTCAACAACCATCTTATCAAATAATGACTGATTATACTGATGAGTGTGAGAACATTACAACTCTGACGAAAGGACAGTCAGACCATTTTAAGACAACACAAACCAGTTTGAAAGACTACTCTGGTCACTTAAAAAAATATGGACAGTTTTGAAAGACTTCTCAGACCAGCTTTGATGACTAGAAGACTACACAGCTAGCCCACCTATAAAGACAACTTACTTGTTACCTCTTAACACAGAGAAGTTCTTTGGACTTAATGCACAATTGACTATCAAGAATGATTGTAGTTTTGCAATGCTAAAAAGTTTTTGGTTTATAGAACTGGGACTAATATATTTATCTATTTGTCTCAGATTTGTATAAACTATTAAATTATATTTTAAAACTGTCATCACTAACTTACCATTGCATCAGATCCATCTTTCTCTAATGAAGTTGGAAATCGAATGTCTTTTACAATTAAATCAGTTATCCTAGTGGGAAGACTCATTCTTTCAACCAGCATACAACGCTGTTAAGCCAAAAAATAAAAGGGGGTGTGTCAAAATAAGTAAACTCCCGAAACATCAGAGAGGTTCCGAGTACAGTTATTGTTTCCGTTACGGAAAAGCATGGCGGGGGATAAAGCCGTTTTAAATTTTCTTGACGTTTCTGAATTAGAATCTATCCCCTTGTCAGTCAAAACAAAGTTAGAAGCAGTGTACAACAAATATCAAGATGAAAATGATGACCTGAAAGTAAAATATGAGAGACTAAGAGTAAACTCTGGTACATAAATAAGATTATCAACTACATATATAGATTCTAGATTTCTTAAGTCGTCACAGATAATTTGTTAAATCGGTATCTTGTATCCTTCTTTTGAAACAACCAGAATGGCAGGCTCCAGCTCCTATTCTCTGCCATGTCGAGCATTAAGGTTTATCAAAAGGAATTGAAAAATATGGCCGTGTTTACACCACAAAATCTACTATGACTATGAGTACAGACAAACGCATGCATCTAGGAAATTTTTAATGCATGGCAGGACCTAGATATATAAAAGTTTTATATAGTTTATGTTTCAGAAAATTAAAAATTTACCTGGGTTTTGATGTGCATTTTTTTTCCAGTCTGCAGAAGATAGCAAAATAAACAAACACATGAGTTTCATTTGATACGGTCCACTCAGTTACACAGTTTAAATCACCTATACACCTTATGGCTATTTGGAAATATGTGCTGCTTGACCCGAGAATCTGCACCTCTTGAACTATTGTCGTCATACAACAAATACTTTTCAATTGTGGCGTCAGATATTTTCTATTATGACGTCAAAATTTTCTGGGAACCTTTGTGATGTCCAGTAATGGCGGACAAATAGCAATAAGGTGTATTGTTTGCAGATGTCTATTGTCCATTTAAATCAATGCTACTCACAACATTTATTACATGAGGGGAGCTTCTCAAACCTCTTTCCAAATTTAGTTCATTTTGGCACTTTCTGCAGGAATGAAAAAAAATGAAAGGCAAAATCCAAAAAATCCAGGAAAGTATAATTTTCTGAAACATAAAATGCATTTAAAATTTAATTATCTAGTTCCTGCCATGCCTTTAAAACTTTATAGGAGCATAGGTTTGTCTACTCTGAGTAAAATTTGTGGTGTAAATATGGCCATATTAGCCAAAAGGTTATGATGAACCTTAAAATCCTAGTATTCAAGTCAAAGTACAAATCATTCACAGATATTTTGTGAGGGTAGGGGTAGTCCAAATGATTATGACATCTTGAAAGGCTATTTTAATTTTTTTTGTGACGCCTTCCTACGACGTAAAAAAATAACCTTTCAAGACATCATAATTATTTGGACTAGGGTAGGGGCAAAGGTATTTGGAATTTAATCCCTGCATAACAACTGCAGAATGAATGTTCGTCAGAAGAGTCACAGTTGCATATCAAGTCACTGATGTAAAGAGTTTTAATGTTTATCATATTAACAATTGGACAAAAATGTCTGTATTTGCACGTCAGAAATTACACTGTGTACACACAAACTGGAAGAAGTAAAGTAGTTGTAGTTGCAGTCTGTCTTTAAATTTTTTTTGTTCTTTCTGGCTTATTTCTGTGGCATGAGAATTAAGTTGTTTCTATTGTCAGCATCTTTATATCAATAGGGACAATCGAAACCTGTCTAGTCTCAGTTTGTGACAGAGTAATAAATTATCTCTGAGCAATATGAGCAATGTCAATGATTAATCAGATGCTGAACTTTCAAAATATTTACAAACACAGAGTGAGGGGCCTTGTTGGCAGAGTGGTCTAAGTAGTCAAACTACTGTATCACTAGCCAGTCAAGACTGAGGATGTGAGTTCGAATCCCGCAGAGGGCAGGTGCACTCAACTCCAATCTTAATTGACTAGGATTGTCAGTTTTCCTACCGAAGTTCTGTGGTTCTCTCCAGGCATTCCGGCTTCCTCCACCAATAAAAACTGACCGCCACAAAATAGTACAATAGTGTTGAAAGTGGCGTTAAACACCAATCAATCAAATTTATACAGTGAAAACTCCCAAAAAATCAATGAGAACCAGTGAACCAACAATATAAACTACCCGAAAACTCTTATTTATATGGTGTAATACTGCTTTTATTGATAATTTTAAATGACTAGAACTCTTGAGCTACGTGTCATTTTTACTCAGAAGTAAAATTTAACTTCAGGAATTTAATGTATGTGTCTTGTATGCAAGTTCCTTGTATAACAATATGGCAGATGTAATTATTTAAATTAACATCATATTCCAAAAGTAAATGTGATTATTCATCCTTTTTTTTTTATTCCTTTTTATTGAGTATTAAAAATGACATATATCTTGAAATTATAGTCTTAATTAATAATTATCTATAAATGATTAAAAGCAGTATTATACAATATAAAATAGAGTTTTCATGTGATATCTATTGGTTCTCTGGTTCTTTGAGTTTTTGTGAAATTTGGGTACCGGGAAATTTCTTTGTCTCTGGACGTGTGACGCTATAATGGAATCTGTTAGATGCACGAAATAGGATGTGATAATCTGCTGCTTGTTGAAGAGCAGTAAAACAAAATCATAGAGTTTTATATCACAATCCAATTGCCCTATATATATAATGTGATGTGCATACACAATAGACTGTTTGGTCTTAAAGTCACTTGCCCAATTTGGCAAAGGCTGAGCAAAAAAAAAATTGTGTAAATATAAAATCAATAAATAATTTCTAATTACTTTGTAATAGAAGAAACTATTATTAAATCAATATTTCTTTAGAAAATTATTTCATTCAAATAAAGAAATCAAAAAGTAAAATTATTTAATTGAAGTGTAGGATATTACAGAAGTATTATTTCACTTTGGATTGCAAATGATGTGTTTAGAATTTTATTAAAATGAGCTAATTTTGATACTGAAATCAAATTTATTTGCAAGTCTTTTCATGCAAAAAGATCCAAATAGATTATTTTAATCCTTGGACAATTACAGAAAGCTTTTTGAATTGAAAATAATTTAGACTTTGATATGTATAATAACTTAATTTATCGCCTTCCTTTTGTAACATGAAAACAAGTTTGGTGTCCGATAAAAGTTATCTTTTTATACCCGGGCTTTAAAAAAGGTGGGTATACTGTTTTACCTCTGAAAGTCTGTCCATCCCTTTAATATATTTCGTAACATTTTTCTCAGGAACTACATAAGGATTTCTGAAATTTTTATACCTCCACTTTAAAAAAAGGGGGGGGGTGGGGTGGGGTGGGTATACTGTTTTACCTCTGTCTGTCCGTTCCATGAATATTTTTCGTCACATTTTTCTCAGGAACTACATCATAAGGATTTCTGAAATTTGGTTTCAGGGTTTATATAAGTCAGCTATACTGTGTGATGTGTTTTCAGATTCATCACTTAACAGTATACTGTCAAGTATTTTGGCGGGGGTATCATCAGTGAGCAGTAGCTCGCAGTTTCACTTGTTATTTTTGTGAAAGGGATATTCAAAGTGTTAAATAGGGAGTTTTCATATTTTATTTCAAAAGTCTATAATTATGAGAACTTGCACATTGTATTGCTAGAAAAAAGCTTGGTGATATACCTTCTTTACAAAAAATTTGGAAACAGCATGATTTAAAAAAAGTGTAAAAATTATTTTGCCTTGAATATTCTAGTTTATTCATGTACATATCTCTATCTGACAAAACTTTGCCATTGTAGAACAGCAGTATTTTGATGTAGAAAAACAACTTGTTAGCAGTAATAACAAACTAGAATCAGAAAGTTCTACAAATGCAGAGCTTAAGGACACATTGGCACAGTTGGGTAAGTAAAGTAATAAAATAATAGTACATGCATGTTTAAGTAAAAGGAAACATTGTCATTCTTAAGAGATCTTTTTTTTTATATAAAATGGAAGGTAAAATCAGTACATTATGTAGTTATTGTAAAAACTATGTTTTGGTTTACAGTTGAATAGTAAGGTGAAACTTACATATATAGCACATATTAAACAAAGATTGATTTGAGGAACCATTTATTCTAAGAAAGTGTAAAATATATACATTTAATTTGATAGCAACACAACTTACTTTTAACTGTTATAACAGAATGTGTGCAGATCAGTAATACTCTTGAAATGTTAGATAATTATTAAGATTATCAGTATCTAATTTGTTATGTACAAAGTAAAAACTAATTTTTTAAAGTCGGGAATAATTTATGAAACCAAAAATACAGTGGGTTAATTATGTCAACATAACAAGCCATTATAACACCAGAGAGGATCTATAGTTTCTATAATGTGTGAATGTCTGAATTTGAATGGATAAAGACTAGCATTAATTGATATTGTACATGTCTTGTACATATATCAATACAGTCATGTCATAAATCTAATAATACCTCTAGGTTATTTCTTCTTGAAACATTTTTTTGTTTGCTTAAATAATCAATATGGATGAGACATAAGTGAAGGAAACTTCTTTTCCTGCAAAAACAATCTGTAACAATAGAATATTGATAGATCATGCATACAATACAATACAATACATAATTGTTTATTGTTATATTGAATTACGACATGTAATGATATGAATTGTTATACATGTACATAGTAAATGTACCTAATGATGTTTTATACAGAAACCTATTAAAAAAATGTATGTTCATGCCAATTTTTTACACAGAACAAAAATATAAAGACATATCAGAGAAATTTACAGAGCTTGGAGATACACAAGAAGGGAGCCTCACATCACAGGTAAATATGCTGATTTCCAAAAACTGATTGAGAAATACTTGATCCAGACCAAGGATCTGGAAATTTTTTCTCACAATTTCGGTCATTTTGAGATGACTTAAAAGTTGGGGTCCTTTTTTCAAACTGTTGAAATTATTCACACTAGATTCATAGCATCAATGAACTTGTATTGGCTGTTTCTTCGCATTTGCTTCATGAATTTTCTTAACATTTTTCTAAAACGTTCAAGAACAGTATATGGAATGCAACCGTTTAAAATTGAAACGATTTAAAGACTCAA